CGCTGACAAATTTCGTCTAATCACCACAATACATATAAAACTTATTTTCATTCTATTGATAATGGATGGTTGATTTATTAAAAATATTCAGATACAACTTTTCGTATTGTTATGGTCGAAACCTCGGCCGACAACAGTTGGTCCCGTCGTCCAGTGGAGAAGGGGGTGGGTGAAGGAGAAAGGTAGGGAATGTCGAGCGCCACGGTATTTTTGGGAAGGGTAAATACCAAAACCCTAAGAGAAGAAAAGAAATAGATGTAAAGGAAAGAATGAGAGAGAGGAAAAAATGAAACCAAAGGGGGAAAAAAATAACAGTAACGGAGTTTGGAATCGAACCCACAACTTTCGAGACCCAAGTCGGCGATCGTGACCACTAGACCAAAGGCGCCGACTGAGCCTCGCCGCACCCCGCCAGCTCACCGCCTTGCGCCTGGGATCGCCAACGAAACCCGGGGCCCAAATTCATCCTCCGGTCAGATAGAGATAGAGATAGGGAAAGATAAAGAACAATAATATTAATCGCCGGTGCCTCAACTGTGCCTCTCACAACGGGTGCCGTGGACAACAACAACAAAAAACTAGACAATTCGGCCTTCACCAAATGAAAGGTTCACAACAAATATCAAAAAGACAACTCGACTTTACACTGTATTCAACTAGAATCTCTTACATCGGAAAGAAATCTGATAAATAAATGTCTATTCGGCTACTTATAATTAAATCTGAATTCTTTAACCTAAAATGACTAACAACATATTAAAACAAAGAAACCTTAAACCTAGCGTAACAATTTTGTCTTATAACTAAATCAACTTAATCTAACAAAAGGAATTAAACAAATACAGAAAGTCAATCGGACGTTTCGGCGAACTCACGTCGGGGCCCTGGCGCAGCGTGGTCCTCTTCCGGGAGCATCCTCAGTCGGGTAAAATAATTCGTCCTCGTAGAACTACAAATCCTCTTCCGAGTTCTCTTCCCCATCACTCTGACCAGGGGAAGATGGCAGATTACTGAGGACGAACAATCCGCCGCAGCGTGAATTTCCCCTTTCCTACGGCCGCTCGTCCCTCGCACGGCGGACACGTCTCTCCGGGCCGAGGGCCTTTAACCTGCTCTCGCTACCGTTCCAGGCCTCGACGCCCACGCTCGTGCTGCCGCCTGATGCATTTCCACGCAGAAATTCAAATTTACACGACTTAAAACTAAGATTTTTTCCCCGCACGCAGGCACAGGCAAGCCACCAGAAAATCCATTATTACTTTTTTCCTTAAAAAAATGTAATAATATTTAGCCATCAATGCATGTGTGATATTTTGACAATATTCTCATTTTATCAACATAAAAGCACTTCAATGTTAAGTCGTTTTAATGGTCTTGATACTGGATGAAAAACAAAAATGCACGGCGTCGCGGTTTATTAGTTTTGCAAGACCTGGCGGTCGTGATGGTTTAGCATATTCTCAGCGCCGTGAGTGAGGCCGATATTAACGAAAACCTATGTCCACATCTCTATGTTAAAATATGGATTTATTATTATTTAAAAACCATTTATTTAATGTATTTTTATTGTACTATAATTTCGATAAAAATTGTTAGATATGTCTTGAAGCAATGGTTCTTTTAAAGAGGTTGCGATTCCTTTCTGACTTTCTTTCCGTCACCTAAAGAGTATCTGTCACTCTCTCTCTCTCTCTCTCTCTCTCTCTCTCTCTCTCTCTCTCTCTCTCTCTCTCTCTCTCTCTCCAAACCATATGAAAATTAAATTGAATTATAAACAGAGGAGATTGTATAAAAACTTAGAAATCTGTTGTGAATAAGTCGACATCTTGACAGGCAAGTGTTCAGAGTCGATTTATCAAAAATATTCTCGCACGACTTTGGATCTTTCGCCATCAATGCAATTTGGTGTTTTAACAACATTCTCATTTTATCAGCACAAAAGCATTTCAATGTTAAGTCGTTTTAATGCTCTTGATACTGAATGAAAAACAAAAATGCACGGCGTCGTGGTGTATTAGTTTTGCAAGACCTGGCGGTCGTGATGGTTTAGCATATTCTCAGCGCCGTGAGTGAGGCCGATATTAACGAAAACCTATGGCCACATCTCGATGTTAAAGTATGGATTGATTATTATTTAAATAACTATTTATTTAATGTATTTTTATTGTTTATGAAATAATTGTACTGTAATTTCGTTAAAAATTATTAGATATGTCTTGAAGCAATCGTTCTTCTAAAGAGGTTGAGATTCATTCCTGACTTTCTTTCCGTCGCCTAAAGAGTATCTCTCACTCACTCTCTCTCACTCTCTTTCTCTCTACACACAAATAAACAAACAAGTTTATAATAAAGATTCATTTGGTTTTCTTTTTTCCAAACCTGTTTCGCCGTTCAGAACCAAATTTTCATTCCCCCGTGAAATATTTCCATGGATATATTTCGCTTTGTAATCATATCACGGGTAAAAAATACTTCCTGGCTATTCTGTGTTTTCTAGAAGTGCAATATGAAAACTTAGTAAACCTCTCGACACCTGTTTACTGACATTTACTATTTATTTGACAAGAAAACGAATTTTATTCTTTTCTGATATTTCTCCAACAAAATCCATATTAAATTAAACAGAACATTGCCGATTACATAAATAATCTAGACTTTATTAATTTTTAAAATCATTTTGGAAAAAGTAACAAAATATTATTGTTTTCAATCAATTTTTTTGACTTTTGACTTAAAAATTAGCTCAATACTTTTCACAGGAGGGTATAGATTTACGTATTGAATTATAAGGAAGAAAACTTTAAATCTCATCTGTAAACCTATTCCGCCGAGTCCCGTCTCTCAGACTTGAAATATTAATCATTCATTACAACGCCCTTAACAGCGTCTCTCAAACATAAATTCATGGTTAATTTACTGAGGTTGGAGTGTATAGGGATGGCAGCTGTTAATGAGCTATTTAGACCCCTCGTATGTTTAATTTACAAAGCTAATTTCCTATTATTTAAGAACGAAAGTTCTGCAAGAAACTATAACGTTTTTTAAGTATTGCTTAGATATTATACAACACGTAAACATATAAAAAATAAACATGAGCTCTTTCATGATTTCAATAAAGCTGTACGCTCGAACACTGGGTGAAGGTATAGTTGAAGGAAAAATCAAGTTCAGCTGTTACTGCCAAGCTTTCTACCTGTTTTAAATAATAAATTATGACAATCTGTATCGTTTTGTGCTCGTTATTCTTTACTCTATTGTATATCTGTTGTATAAATAAGTTTCTGAAAAAAGATATTTATTTTTCAACAAATAACGAGTTTCAACAACATCTTTGTTATTACTTTTTTAATTGCATTTAATTTTCATATAGTGTGTGAATGTTACAAAAGAAGGGGGTAAAGAAACATCGTGTGTTTATGTCTCAGGAATATAAATACTATAAATTGTCGGACTGTGAGAGAATTTAACTTGAACAGAAGCCGAATCTCCTCTCCTAGAAAATATCTTGTGTCTATTTTTACACATTCATTGAATTATGAATATATTGCATTTTCTCTAGACAGAAAAGGTGCACCATTGAGATAAAGCATATTTCTATTTTGATTAACTACCTTAACTCGACCAACGACAAACCTTTAGTCCTGTTCTTATCTAGGTTAAATATATTAAAAACATCTTCTTATCGCTATTTATAATGAACTTAATTTTTTTTTTATTGACAGTTAACTAATGATTGTTTTTGGAAATAATTTAAATTAAAAAAATAAATAAAAAGGCGATGTAGATCTATCCTGTCCACTAATTTCTTCACAGAATTTGATACTTTGCTTCCCTAGTAAATAACTACAATAATAAAGGTAACCTTTTTAATAAAATGTAAAATGTGAATATCAGTGTTATACAGGGTGTTCTGCTACTCATGTTACAAACTTTGCCAGTAGGTTCTACATCCAAAATGAAACCAAAAAGTCCTAATTAACTATGGTCCGAATCTCAAAAATTTCGGAGTTATTGAACTTTTTTAGATTTTTTCATATTTCACGACATTGCTTCAAAAAAACAATAACAACTCCAAAACTAAAACGGTCTGGACAAATCCGTTGATACCACTAAAAACTAAATTTCGAATAAGATGTGATCAGTACTAAACCTGCTACGATAAAGTTCGCGAAATAAGCGCTTTAGTAGCGAAAACTTTGAAAAAGAATTTTTTTTTCAAAGTTGCAAAACTTACTATGGTGATTTTAAACTACTATTTCCAAACCTAGAGACCAACACATTTCAGGAAACGTGTTCCATTTAATATCCTTTTTAGTGGTGCGTCTGGCAAGTTTGTTACACGAGTACACGAACACCCTGTATTTGTCTTTTTATAAAAAATATAGCTCCTGATGATGTAAATTCCCGAAACGTACACTTAAATGTAAGGAATGTATTTACTTATTATTTTTAAAAAAATCACATGGAAATGTTTTCTAACAAAAACCCAAAAAATTTAAATAAAACAAATTAGTCTTAAAAATTTCATGTTTAAAATAAAACATCTTCAATATGTATGGTGATTAGTGACCGTTAATCGATATTTATTTAGAAATCGTGAGATGCGGTCTGGTGTGATGTAGGTTTCAGAAAAACATTTTCTTTATCGTGCCAACGATTCGATCTTTATTGAGATCATCTTCAGGGCTCAAAGTGTGTCTTCTGTATAATTGTGCCATTCTTGCGTGTCGTATCGAGAGTGTATATAATTACACTATTATATATAATAGTGTAAGTTATATAATATTAGTGTGAGTTATATAATATTTAAAAGTTTGGAATAAGTCGGAATAAGTCAGAATAAGTTATCCTTTGAATAAATTGATTCGCGCGTTCTACGACGCCACTGCCTCGGTGAAGGCGACAGTTGTGAAACGGCGACCTCCTCAGACGACAAAACTAGAAAAAAGCAGACAAAAACCACATGTTTTCTTGTTTTGAAAACTGTCGAAAGATGATTTGATCCGTTTTTGGTCTAAATAAAAAGACGGGGGTAAAAAAAGGAAAAGATTCTGGCGTTTATAGATCAGGAGAGTTGGCAAGTTCAGCCGCTAGGCTGCTCGACCCAGGAAAGGTTTCATCGACCCGTGCGAGGTTAGTGTCGCCAGTCGTCGAGTCGGATCGAACGGACAACAGTGATCAAGAGATACCGGATCATCGCTGATCAGGAGATACCGTCGTACCTCATCGAAAGACCCTGGCCGAGAACGACAAAAAGAGCATGTCCGTTATCGCCGAGTTCATGACGGGCCTCCCGTCCTACGACGCCGAGAACTTCTCCAGGTACAACTCAGGAGCGAGGGCCCCGAAGAGGCCGAGCGTCTACCTCACGACGAAGGACATCCCCGCTCAGCAGATCATCGTGACGGAAAAGACCAACATCCTCCTCAGGTACCTCTCGCGCAAGTGGTCCGACAAAGAGGACAAATCGAAAAAACGCCAGACGGACAACGCCCAGACTTCGCCCAAGAAGAAGAGGCGCTTGGAAGACTCACCGTGAACGTCTACTCGATAAAAACAATTCTCATCCAATGAAAAGAAACTGTTTAAGCGTAAAACACAAGTATTTTCTTTCTGTTTTTATCCTTTTTCTTCCTAATAAGTGCGAAATTAACTATTTAAGACCAAACAAAAAAAAACTTGTCAGAAGAAAACATTTTCCCCCTTTCTTTTTATAAAAAGAGAGAAAATTAACTTTAAACTTTTATAAGTCGCTTTTAACCATAAATGGACACCATGGAAAGGTTAACAAAATATCGATTTGTGTACTCCAATATATATATTTTTTTTTATTCCAAATGTTATATACTTTAAACTGTATTTATCTTTTTTTTAAGTAATATTTTTCAGTAGAAAATCGCAAATTTGTTTGTGTAAGCTTGGAACTCGAAAAAAAACCGTACTAGTAATCACGCAATTGCCCTGGATTTGTTCAACACCCCGGAATCTATGTGTAACAAATTGGTGTTCACAGTTTTTGTAACTTTATATAAGCTATTATATTATTATATAAAATAAATTATATTTTTCCGTTAGGCAATCCTGTTTTTCTTTTCTATTTTTCTTTTCTTTTTTTTATATTACACGTATCCTCAATACTCCTGGAAAACAAAAATGACATCATTTGAACGATCTTCCATTGCTCTCGAGCAATTTTTGATTTTTGCCCGAATTTCGCGTCGAATTGTGAAATAATTTACTACGCGTTTACTTTTTTTTTCCTTCTAGGAAACGATTAATATTAAAACCCTGCTTGACCTTCTGCCTTTCACAATAGTGTTTCAACACTTCCACCCTGGATTCCAGTTCGTCCCGATTTTCCGACATTTTCTCCCAATGATTAAATCGAATTGAACAAAACGAAAGGCACCGAAAAGTAAAAACAACAAATTGACCTAATTTGGACGAAACACACAAATTAAACATAGAATCTCGTTCAAACTGTTGACCTTTCAGTTAATACGTTTGGAAGTTTCATGTTAAAATATGTTCAAATGCTCTAAACATAAGCAACATAATAATCTCAGAAAATCTCTTTCAACCATTTTTCAATAATGTTAATTGGTCTTTCATAAAATAATGGCTTGTTTTCTCTTGAAAAACTTGTTTTAATTTGTTGTGATACATTATTCAATTTTTTCTTTTCATATTTAATTTTTGCAAGTGGCACAGATTAGACAGGGAATTACATTTAAACTGTTGACCTTTCATTGAATACGTTTGAAATTTCATGTTGAAAGCATGTTCAATTACACTAAACTTTGAACATAAAAAATGTCTCACCATTTCGACAATGCCTGTGGGTCACTCATCAAATATTGCCTTGTTTTATTATGAAAAATTATGTTTTGATATAGCTGTGAAACATTAATCCGATACTTCTTGAAAAATAACCATTCTCATTAATTTTTCAAGACGTACAGATTAGACAGTGTATTACATTTAAACCGTTGACCTTTCACATATGTTTGAAAGTTTCATGTTGAAAATGTGTTCAATTACACTGAATATAAGCCTAGACATTTTATAATAATAGTCATGGCCAATCTCTTTCGTTGGCCATTCACCTTTTTCTGTTTAAAAATTTAAGCAAAGCACATGTTCATATAACTAAAGATAAGCAATATAATCATAGAAAATCTCCTTCAACCATTTTTCAATAATGGTAGTTGGTCTTTCATCAATTACTGACTTATTTTATTATGAAAAACTGTTTTTATACAGTTGTGAAAAATTAAATCCATATTTCTAGAAAAATAATTAACCTACATTATTTTTACAAGTTGCAAAGATTAGGCAGGGAATTACATTTAAGCTGTTGATCTATCATTTAATATTTGAAAGTATGTTCAATTTCGATAAACAAGCAGCATAATAAAAATATAAAATCTCTTGCAACCTTTTTTTAATAATGGCAGTTGTCCTTTCATGGAATACTGGCTTGTTTTCTCTTAAAAACCACGGGTTTTAAATCATTGTGATACGTTATTCAATTTTTTCTATTCATATTTAATTTTTGCAAGTGGCACAGATTAAACAGGGAATTACATTTAAACTGTTGACCTTTTTTTTACTGAATACGTCTGAAATTTCATGTTGAAAGCATGTTCAATTACACTAAACATTGGACGTAAAAAATCTTTCACCATTTCGACAATGGCTGTTGGTCATTTATCAAATATTCCTTGTTTTATTATGAAAAACTATGTTTTGATATAGCTGTGAAACATTAATCCGATACTTCTTGAAAAATAACTATTCTCCTTAATTTTTCAAGACGTACAGATTAGACAGCGTATTACATTTAAACCGTTGGCCTTTCACATATGTTTGAAAGTTTCATGTTGAAAATGTATTCAATTACACTAAGCATGAGCCAGAAAATAGAAAATCTCTTTCGCCAGTTGTTATTCGTTTATCAATTACAAATGTTTACAATTACAAATGTTTTATTATGAAAAATTTTGATTTTTTTGTATACATAATTAAGAAACATTAATCCAATATTACTTGAAAAATGAAAACTACTTAATAATAATAATTTTTGTGAATGGAAAAAATTAGACAGGGAAGTCAATTTAATACATTTAAACTGTTCACCTTTCACTTAGTACATTTGAAAGTTTCACATAGAAAGATTACACTAAACATAAGCCAGAAAATCTCTTTTGCCCACTTTAAAATAACACTTGTTAGTCATTCATCGAATACTGTCTTATTTTATTATGAAAAACTATATTTTTATATAGTTGTGAAACATTAATCCAATATTTCTTGAAAAATAACAAATCGACTTCATTTTTACAAATCACAGATTTGACAGAGAATTCCATTTAGACTGTTGACTGTTTACTTAGTAGGTTTGAAAGTTTCATGTTAAAGTGTGTTTAATTACACTAAACATAAGTCTGAACATTTCATAATAATAATCACGGCCAATCTCTTCGATTGGTAATTTACCTTTTCCTGTTGAAAAATTTAAGTGGAAAGCATGTTCAAATATACTAAACCTAACCAACGCAATAATCTTAAAAAATCTCCTTCAACCATTTTTCAACAATGGTAGTCTTTCATCAAATATTGGCTTGTTTTCTTTTGAAAAACATGGGTGTAGATAGTTGTGACACATTATTCAAATATTCTTTTCATACTTAATTTTTACGAATAGCACAGAATAGACAGGGAATTCCATTTAAACTTTTTCGGTCATTTTTCTAAAGTGGTAGTTGGTCGTTTATCAAATACAGGCTTGTTTTCTTTTTAAAACATGGGTTTTATAACATGAATCACTAATCCAATATTTGTTAAAAAATAACAAACCTTAATTTTTTAAAGACACAAATTTCACTCAAAATGTTGGCCTTTGAGTTTATATGTTTGAAATTTTCATTTTTAAAACATGTCCAATTTTTTTAGTTATTAAAGCCTGTATTTGATATGTATTGTATGAATAATCATAGAAAATCTCTTTCAATATTGACTTTTATGAAAGAATGCCTTGTTTTTGAAAAAATTACATCGTTGCATATCGATTTATAAAAAGGTGCACTTCATTGTAATACAATTCAAATCAAATCTCATTCTCATATTTGTGTCAATTTTCCTGTAACATCTTGAAAAATCTGTACTATTTAATTAACAGATTAGACAAAGAATTCAGTTTATACTGTTGACTTTTGACTTAATTATTGAAAACGTACAATTTCATTAAACATAAGCCATATAGTAATCGTAGAAAATCTTTCAACCACTTTTCATCATTGGTTTTAACTCATTTATCAAATACCTCCTTGTTTTCGTTTGGAGAACTGAGCTTTTATCCCTAACAACTTGCGGCACAGGGTATGGCTAATATAGAGACCATAAAGCAAAAAAAAAATTGAGTTTAATATTGTTGCGAAACATTAATCCAATAAATTGTTTTGTACCATTGTTCACTATGATTATTTAAAAATCCTGATAAAGATGAATGACATGTAATTTCACTAAACATAAACTCTATAATAATCATAGAATTTTTTTCACCCAACAATTTGTCAATAATGTTTCTTGGTCATTCATCAACATATTTTCTTTTGAAGAACTTCGGTTTTATATCATTGCAAAATAGTAATACAATATTTGTTTTTGCACCAATTTTCACTATGATTTTCCAAAACAGCCCAGACAAAAACAATGCATGCGTTGAGAAATAATTTCTTCTTGGACCATGGTTCACTTCAATTTTTTGGAAACAAGGTTTTCTTTATTCCATCACAGTTTATACCGTGAGACAAGTTGTCATTTTGCAAGCTGCAGAGCAATCTCAATTTTAAAACAGCCAGATAAAAACAAAAGAAACTTTTTTTTAATTTTTTTTTTTTTTTTTTTTTAGATTTTGGCCAGTCATATCCTGTGTGTAAAAAAAAAATTTCTTCAAAATGTCGTAAATTTTTATGCTTTTTAGCATTTTCCAACATATCCTTAAAAAATGAATAAATAAATAACAAAGCAACAAAAATTAAAATTGTACAGTCCTGTGAAAAAAATATATTCTCAAGACAAAAAAATCTTATCAACTTTTCCTAATCTCTTGCTCAAATTCAACTTGCAATGTGATGCCAGCCTAGAAAGGAAGTGGGCAGATGAAACCAGGTATTTGAACTATCGCAAAATTGAGAGAAAACCAAACCTAAAAAAAAATCACATTAAACGGCTTGCAGTTTGTTGAAAAACATATTAAAGAAAACCAATTTGTCCTAAGGTTAGTTTTATAGATGAAAAAAATTCTATCTTGATGGTCCTGATGGTTTCAATTAAGTAACAATTTGAGCTGAAGAAGCACCAGTTTTGTAATTTTCCTCAAAACTGCACATTTCACATGATCATAAAATTTTGTAGGTCTTTCAGTTATTTTATTTTTTCTGTAATTATCCTAACCAGAATTTAAAATGTTTGTAACATCATCCTGAGAGCAGTTTAACTTGTGGAGTGATTTGTCTTTGTGTCAACCCTTCTCTTTTTAAGTCGAATATTCGCTGTGGCTCAATTTCACTCAATGGGCAAAAAAAAAGTTAACAAAAGGAACACAAGGAACAGATTACAGCCACTCTATGTCTTCATTATTTCATATATCATTAGAATTTCAAAATTTTTAATAAATGGAGTTTTCGTCGTTTAAAATGATAAAGTTGTTTTAAAAAATATTAGAAAGGTAAATTATTAAGACAGTTCTGAATTGAGAATCTTCAGGGTGCTACAAGCAAGCCTTAAGAATATGTACCTACCTCGGCAAGAGTCTTGTGTTAATATTGGATGAATTGAAACAACTAAATTTTTGATGTAAAGACGCTATTTGTAAGTCTTTTGACAAGTCCTGCTTGGATATTAATCTGAAAAGGAACGGCCTTCTTATTAATAAGACTTGATAATTTTGTGAGTTGAAGTTTTAAAAAAAAGTTTTAAAAGTAGTCATTGTAAAGTAATTCCTGTCATACAGGAGGGCTTAACATCTAACTACCAGTTGGGTGTTGCGGACGAGGAGTCAAACCTCTTTACAATATATTTTTCTTACTATAATCAACTAAAACTCATAGGAGATCTGGGATTCAAACTCAGAACCACTCGCTTGGCAAATACGAGTCAGACGCACCACCAGGGTCCCGATTGTTATTAAGTTTGTTTATTACTAATTAATAATTCATTATATTATTTTCCTTTGAAAATCAAATTAGTTTGGATTATGTAATTATTAACAGCAAGAATTTAATGGCTTTTTAATTGAAAACTTCAAACAGAGAATGCGCAATGAACAAAAAATCCAGCATAAATAATAATGATTTCAACATTGAAAATATTAAAATTTAATATTGTCTGACTTTAGGAGTTAAAAATAATGCTTTTTTTAAAATTATAAATGTATTTTTTTTATTTTTTGATATTCATGTTCAACATGCACAAAAATGGAATAAGAAACTTTTCCCCTTACCAATTAAATTAGTCAAAAGAAAATTTGTAAATAATTAACATAGTTAAATACATTTTAATTTTATTCAGAAATTACACCCTGGGAGTTATCCTGTCTTTTATATGGTGGGGGGGGGGGGTGTTTTAGCTGCTCTCCCATACCCGTTTGGCCTGATGCATGATACCTTTGGCATTTTTCACTTTTTCGATTAATTTATTTATCCAGAAAAGTTGAATTAGCAAGTATTTTTTAGATACCTCCGAGCTTTTAAATAACACAAAGTTTTGTAAAATTATGTTGAATCATTTATTATTTCGACTTTTTCTTTCCGTTGGCCTTTTATAAATTAAGACAGATCTCTCTTCTCATGTGCTTCAGATTATTTTCCACAAAAAGATAGAGTGGTCTTAAAAAGGGCTTAATTTAATAATGTTCCAGTATAAGGTAGGCCTGGCTTTTTTTTTGGCAGTTTTATAGCTCAGCATACAGTCTTCATGCAGGGAAGAAATGTCAGGCTGGGTCCTAGGCCTTAAAGGTGGTGGATCGCTGGAGGCCCTCTTCTGATAATCTCAGAAACCTCAATACAAGCTCTGAACTCACTACATCTGATTCTCTCACTCAGATTTTAACTCTAACAGCCTCCAATGCAGGCCAGTCTTATACATGGCGAGTGTAGTTGTGTATGTGACTCAGATGCAAGACCTCATCTTGTGAGCCTTATGAAGATGTGGACAAGGGCATAGATTTTGGGTACTAGCTTGCTAGGTATTGGGTAGGTGTGACAATATTCACTTACAAATATATTAATTAATATTACTATATATTAAATTGATTTATATCATTGCCCATATATGCACATACACACTGAATCTAACTTATGACCTATCGCATCAGTGAATCATGAGAATCACCCAGTTCAGCATTTTGGAAGTCTGGGGGTTTCAGTCTTATCCTTCAGCAACTATCAACAGCTAGGTCATTTCAGGCCCCAACAAATACTGTTTTTAAATCTAGACACACGTTCTTATTCAATACTCCTGTATCTGTCCTCACACACCACACATTCATGCTAATAAATACATTCAATTTCAATTATACAGATAAGAAATGAGATATTTATCAAGTACTGTATAAAATAAAGCAATTCTATTTCCTCTAAAAATTGGAATAAACAAACCAAATATTCGCTTCCGTGCTTAAGTACAATTCTCATTCATATGACATTCCTACATGCTCTCTTTATGAAGTCAACGAACGACACCCTTCAATTAAATCGGTCACACTGGGCAATGCTTTGGTCCAAATGTAAGTGTCCATGTGTCATCCTTGCATGGTCTATTCTTAATCAGGTGAGGATAATCCATCTTCTATGATTCAGAGCTTATTGCATTTTTATTGTCAGAGGGCCGAATCGTGACGATCAGGTAAGGATGTCACAAAACGGGACGTCCCTACCTTACCCACCTCATCCTACATATTATATTGCAAGCATTAAAGAATTTAAATTATTCAGTGGTTGACCACCAAAATCATTCAAAAAGTTTGAAATAAAACCAACCAATTTGAAATTAAAGAAAAATTGAATAAATTTTAATAAATAAATTTGTTTGTTTTTCAGGATTCACTGACTTGCAAACAGTACTATTAGCATGTTTCATCATATTACTGCCTTTGATGGTTGGACTCGTGTCATATTTCTGCATAAAGTGAGTACAATTTTTTTTTTTTTAATAAATCATAAACCAACATTTATCACCTGCTCTCACAGCGTTGAATATTCATTATTAATGTTTACAATATTGCCTTAAAGTTTTAATTATGAAGGCTTTAACAGCTAATTAAAGGATCACCTGATGCAGGATGAAGTCACATATAAATTCTTTTCATTCTCAGGCTCTCCTCATCCACCATTGTCTTGAAACCTGTGCACAACCACAAAACACTTTTTATGCTTCATGCACTGCCTGTATGCCAAAGAAAACACACTGGGATAAGGATTTCTGTTTTTTTTTCTTTTTTTTTCTTTAACATTTCACTTCATATCATGGATAAATTGTACAGAATGTTTTTGTCATTTCGTATTGTTATTATCTGTTTTCAAGGTTGCTCAACCGGATATCAAGGCGGCTCGCTCGCATCCAGAGAATGCCAAGACCCAATTTTATGTAAGTGCGTACGCAGAAAAACGGAAGATTCTGGGCATGAATCATTAGCCTGGAGAAACTTTCTTCTCTTTACCCTTGTTGTTGTACTCAAAGGGCTTTCGAACTCAGTTCTATATTTTTCCTTCCCCAAAATAAATTTGTTACCTAATTCTAAATATTTAAATATTTTGTACTACTGAGCAGGCAAGGAAAAACTTGTTTTCCCAGCTTCGTCCTTATTGTCATGAGAAGTCTAACTCCAGTATAATTATTTTGTTTATTTTGCATTATTGCACACAGGGTTGATTTCAGATTCTGTATGAAAATAATTTTACCTATGGGGCTATAAAATTTTTATGATTATGACAATTCAAATTAGTTTCTGTAGAACAACGCCTACAAAGTAAAATATATTGCTTTATTGTTCAAGTATTAAGTACTCGATTACAACTGAAAAATGACAAAAAGCTTTGTTAAAAATAAAATATATTTTTCAACCTAATAATTCCAAATACCTAATCCTGGATAATCTCAACCATATCCATTTACCCATACCAACAGAAATATGCATTTTAACTGCATGACTTTCTATCTTATTCCTATTTTGGTGTGTCAATTTTGCTTCAGATCATTTTTGAGGAGGTTCAGGGTGAATGTGGAACCGAGTGGCTTCGGTAAAACTATTGACAAAGAGAGTGCTGAAAGGAACAAGAGTAGTCACGCCCTCCTCAATGATCAGGTGAGAAAGTTTACACAATTAAAATATTTAAGTATAATTAAAAATCAAGGCAAGCTGGCATCAACTCATAAAAATGCAAGATTGCGCTTAAACATATATATTTTACAAAAAAAGTGTAACATTTAAGCTTGGATTTCTATATTTACATGCTCTTAAAAACTCTAAAAAGTTACTCTTCAGTAATAACAATTTTTAATGTGGCATCCAATAAAAATTATATTGAGATGCCATTTTTTAAATGAAATAGCATATATTTTATTTTGTTGTGTAAGAAGTAACAAAGATTTTTTATATTTCATTTTTTTTCCAGGAACTAGACAACCACCAAACTCATTTTCTTTTTGTTGATATCCTTGAAATCGATGTCAAAAAAAGAAAAGAAGTTTGATGGTTGTCTAGTCCCTGAAAAGAAACCCAAGAAATAAAAACAGTCAACAACCAGAAAAGAAGACTAAAAAAAGATTCTTTAGACTTTCTCGTCTTGTTAGTTTCGGAAAAGTCTTGCGTTATTGGGTCCATTCCACCTTCTTTAATAATTCTACCTTATTTTCTATTAGCTGAAAGCAAGTGAATCTCAGTTTTCGGTGATCCCAGTGGAGGATGGCGAAGACAAATCTGGTACGACTACATATGCAGCAGGGGGAAATCAGACGAGTAAGTCAACGGCCAATGGAAGCATAATAACAATGACAATGAAGAACAACCATCTTATAGTCGAAACAGAGGAGAGAGTGGTAAGATTTGTGCTAATCTCGAAACAATTCTGCTAATTACACAAAAAATTTTACAGGCTGATGCAGTAGGAGATCCTTCTGCTGAAAGCTCTGGTGTTTTTGTAGTTGAAGTAGAACCAAACATGTCTGTTGTTGCGGCTACGCAAAGTGTAGAACCGGATGATGCAATCGTTCACAATGTCCTGCCAGAAGCCAAGGATGAAGCCATGGGTAAGAAAAAGTTAAATTCTAATGAGTTATAATAAACCAGGAATAATTTTTGTTTTAGGTGTGAATACTGGACTTTCCCAGTCAGATCTTAGCTGTTCTTCACACGGCTCGTGCTACAGAGATTTCACATATGGCACACAACAAGAATACACGGGTGAGACTGATTTCACACAACTAGTCTGCCATATCGTAGCATCCGCCGAAGACGACACCTACCTAGACAAACAGCACCCTTACCTTTTAAACGACGACAGCATCGACGATGTCAAAGAGGGAGAAGAAGAAATTCCAAAAGACGGAGAGGAAAACGCAGGATTTGTAGCCACTCCTGCTGAGCCCATAGCACCAGACACGACCTCACCATCTGCTGAAGTCAACTCGTAGAGAAAACTTATTCCCAGTGATGGAGACGATGAGCGCATAATATATGTATAAAATATTTTGATTCGTCAAAATGATTACGAACTTGCCTTATTAGTTAAGTTAAACATTTTTGAGAGCTTTTTTAAATTTTATTTTATCATTTGTCAGTGAGAAAAAACTATTAGTTTATTATCCACAGTATTTTTAAGTATTTTATAATTGAATGTTTTAAACTATTATTTATACAAAGTATACATGACAATAGTACATATTTTAAAATATTCTTGTGGAAAAAAAATAATAGTGATAAGTATATAAATCCTAAAAGAGTAGTTAGATTACAGTCATACTCGTATTTAATTATAACTGTACAAAATTATCTTCACTATATTTCTTGTATTTAACTGAAAACTTTTAAAATATGAAAGTTGATATCAAAAAGAAAATCCAGTCAAATTTTCCAGTCAAATAATAATCGGTTGTGGACATTACTGATAAAAGTTGTCTGGTGAATAATTTTTACTGTGTATTTATAATTACAAAAGCTCTCGTTCTCCTTATTTCCCATAAAACAACGCCATGGTTCACCTTTATTCTAGCACAGTGTAGGTTTATTTCAATTTTATGTTAAAAAGTGCACGTACAAAAAAGTAAAAAATCGCTCCTCCTGGGACCCCCAGTGTTTCACACTATGACTCTTCTATAAACTTGAAATGAACCTGTTATCGAGTGAAAGTTTAAATAAACAAAATAATATATGTATGAAATTTACTCTTATTGCTTCAGATCGTGTTTATAATCAGTGTTAAAAAATAATGTTAGAATATTTTAAAAAGTGTTGAAATTTTTTGACGATTGATTTTTTTTTAAAAGTTTTATTAGAGTTTTGATAAGTCCCGTCCAATTGTTCCATATAATTTTTTTGTTTTTCTGTGGGAAATTTATAAGACTAGTAAGGAATTGGGAAATCACAAGGGTGTTTGTCAGATGCATACAGTATCTGTGGCAGTTGTGCAACATGGGACCTTGACTAACAGTCATCACCAATGAAAAAAAAATACAATTTATTTAACATTTAAATATAAATTATATTATACGATAAAATATAACAAAAATTACTTTAAATCATGGTCCAAAGAGAAATTGAATTACTTTACAACCTACACACAAATCTAGAGAGAACTTTCTCATTAATTTTCAAATAATATAAATGAAATTTCAAGAAATAATTACTTTTGTAAATACAAATTTTTGTTTTTTTTAAACAAGTTCTAAGACCAAATTTTTATTTATCTGCCATTTGTTTGAATTTTTATACACCTTTATAATAATAAAATAAAAAATATTTTAACCAAACTCCTCTACGCTTTTTCTAATCATGGCAAAACGCTTCTTACATAAAATTTTAAAGGGGGAAAACATCCAAATTTCTTTTCAGTACTTTATAAATTAACTTTGCACTTTTTGAATTCAAAAATAGTGATATAAAATTTACAATTTTGTACATAATGTTTTATCAAGAAGCTTGTTAGGTATTTAGCTTAAAATCTATTTTTATTTATTTATTTTAATAGAAACAGATAGATTTTTATGTTAAAGTTTTTCACTTGTGCAGTAGATTTTTTTCTTATAATCTTAAAGTGATATTGTAAAATAAAAGACACCCCTATTAAGGACCATTAATAAGGCATTTGTTAGTTATTAATTTTTTGTAACTTGTTAATACCATATATTCAATTTCTCCTGTTTTATAAAATGAGAAATAGTAATCATCAGCTTCCAAAATAAATTATGAAAAAACATAAAAATACTTTACGAAACTTTCATCAATGGTTCATAAAGACTTTTATAAAAGTTGGAAGCTTATTTTTTACTTTTCTAATCTCGTCTGTTATTTCAATCCATATTTTCTGAAAAGTTGCTTGTACATAGATGCTTTGAGGAAAAAACAGAGAATTTTGTAATCTTCAGCTTGAACTAGATTAAGATTATACTGAATTGAATTTTTTTAAACCGAGGCCGAGGATTGCTGAGACCAAAATATCTTTTAGATTCCTGAGGTCGAACATTATAAATGTACAAAACCAAAATGTTTAAAAGTTTAATGTTAGGATAAAAATTTAAATGTGATATTTTAAAATTTTTTATGTTTATTTGTTAATTTTTCTATTGTATGCCAAATTAAATATATATAGATAGATATATCCATATTATCATATTTTGCACAATTCAAAGAAATAAAAATCCTGAATAATTTAATGTAACTTGGAAATTATCTGATATTTTGTAAAAATGTATTTGATTATTTCAACAAATTTTTAATTTCATTTTGTACAGATCGTTGTTAATGTTGTAAAGCATAACATCATTCGTTTTTAACCAACGGCTACTTTATAACGGATAAGATATGTTATGTAATAAATAAACTAAAAAAAAATACTAACATTCTTCTTTTCATCATTTCCATTAAAGTTACATTTTGCATCGGGTGATGTGAAATATAAAAACAAGTGGTTATTACTTTTCTTTTGGTATTATACAGGTCATTCAGTTAATTGTTATATAATATAAACAATTTGTATCTATCTGGAAGGCATAGTGGTCAAGCAGATGATATTCTTCTGTACTGAAATATTTAAAAACTGAAGTAAAAAGATGGTAATAAACGAAAATTTAAAAAACTACATTAAAACCTTTTCAAAACGTAAGTATTAAATGCCTGTTATTTCATTTCGCTCGCAATAAACACAAGGATTCGGTTCCAGTTTTAAGAAATAAGAAGTTCTACCTTTATTACAATACAAGTTCAAGTGTAATTCTTCGAAACGGTGAGTTAAAACTGTACAAAAAGGTTCTGCAAGAGAAATTAAAAAAGCGATTCAATAACTTAGAAGTGAAGATAAAACAACGCGGTATTAAGATGAATGTGAATAAAATAATAAACTTTTGAATATGTAAAAAATTTACAATTAAAACTATTTTTCTAGCTTGTAGTTTTTATCAAGAATGTGAAAAAATACGAAGCAGAATTCTTAACATTGAATACTAGAAGAGTTAAAGTTATTCTTTTGTGCATATTGAAAGGAAATTTCGACTTTGTAAAAATCGTACAAGAAGCCATTAACTTTGCTTTAAATTGCATTTTTAAACCTTTTAAGCCGGTTCAAATTTATTTCAAAAGGATTTTAGGTTTGTATTGGCAAAATATTTTTCACCAAATCGTTAACAGGCTTAACAAATTTGCAGGCGATGTTTTAAAAGATAACATATTAAATAAAACGAACTTTGAAGGCATTTCCCTAGATTACGCCCATCCCAAAATTTCTTCTTGCAAAATTAAAGCAACTCTTCCACAGCCGATTCTCAATGCCGCCACTGTGAAGATGTATACACAGTTATTAACGCATTCATTAGACGTACTTCTAAAATATTGTCTTATTTTTAGCTTTAAACAAATACAAAAATCAAAGGAGGAAAAAATAGAATCCTTTTTTAACAGTGTAACTGAACACCTGACTCAAACTTACGGAATCGATTTACATCAATTTTGCATAACTGCATTGACATATTCAAATCACTTTATACAACTCAATAGCAAAAATACTGTAAGTTAAATACAAATGAATTACTAATTTAAAACACGTTTAAGAATAACTAGGTATTCTACTGGAACTAAAAGCATTTGAATTTACCTAAACAATTCAAGAAAGAATGTAACTAAGTATTCCAAGTTCCAACCAGTACTTCCTGCTGGTAGTCCATAATGCATAAGAAATTTTTTTTAAATGAGCCACCTGCATTGACCATGTTAATTAATTCTACCTAAAAATATTTTCATTTAAAAATGTACTGTATTTTTACAATAAGGTTTATTTTTGTATATATATTTTCACTGTACTTTGTGATATTTGTTTTTAGTTTGAGATGAAAGCCGTATCAGACAATGTACCATACACAGTCATAAGTTCAGTATGGGAGCTGTTGACCAGAAAAGAATCTATGTGATTAAATAATATCTTCTGAAAAATTCAAATACATTCAGAGAAGAGATTTTTCACAAACTGAACGCTTTTCTTTAAAAAGTTTGTACATTTTTTATTATATAATAATAAATGGCTTTTTTATTTATCGTTTCTTATAACGTAATGCAGAAAAGTAGATATTATGATTTTTTTGAGGATAGCAAAATATTTGAGATCTTCCTAAATTGTTAAATTGTGTTGATCCCTACACCTAATTCTTTCAACCTTCTCCCAGACCAACAATTTGGTTTTGCCCTCAACACTTCAAAACCCAGCAGCTGCTTTGCATAGACCACTTACACTCAACCTTTGAAGTAAAGAGTACTGTATGGGGACCTTTCTCAAGTGTTTTAAGTGTTCAATCAAGTTTGGCATGAGGCCTAAATGAAAGCATGTCCTTCCAAACACCTTATACCTAACCTTTCAACGATTCTTTTGAGTTCACCAAAAGTTGTACAACACAAACTATTGCCATGTGGGAGCAGGAGTGTCACAAGGCAGGGTTCTCGGACTACTCCTGTACCTCCTCTACACCTCACATATCTAAATCCTCCACACACACTCCAGCTTATCTCTGATCCTGATTTTGCAATTGCTTTGGAAGAGCTTTAGGCACATGACCAACAAATAGCCAAATGAAGCAAATTTTGGAGGATAAAGATTAATGAAAACAAATGCACTTATGGTTGCACTCTGAAACAAACCTCTTCAAAAAAAAATTCCTCAACAACATTTCTATCTCTAAAACCTACTGTGCATGCTACCTTTGGTTCTATCTTGCCTGAGGTGAAGAATCTGAAAATCTGAACCAATACACAAAAATAAAAAGATAAGAATAAAACTGACACCTTGGACTTCTCTATAAATGACTTGCAAATCTAACATGACGCCTGTATGAGAATGTCATGCAAAAAAAAACAAAGAAAATAGTTCCGAAGACAGTGGGTTCGAATCCCACCTCCACATTGACCTTTTTATCTCAAATTTTGTTCCAAAATTAATTACACGCTTCAGCAGTACATGCACTAAAGTTGGAATGATACAGAGAAGATTAGCATGGCCCCAGTGCAAGGATGACACACAACTAGTTCTGAAGACGGGTTTGAATCCAATGCTTCACATTGACCTTTTTATTTTCAAATTCATGTTCAAAAATTAAGTATTCACTTTGACAGTACATATACTAAAGTTGGAATGATACAATTAGATTAACATGGCCCCAGTACAAGGATGACGCGCAAAAAAGTTCTGAAGACTGCGGGTTCAGATTCTATCCGTCACATTGATCTTTTTATCTCAAATTTCATGTTCAAAAATCAAATACTTGCTTTGGCAGTAGATATACTAAAGTTGGAACAATACAAAGAGATTAGCATGGCCCATGTGCAAAGATGACATGCAAAAAAAAATTCCCAAGTCTGGGTTCGAATCCCCCATCACATTGACCTTTTTATCTCAAATTTAAAGTTCAAAAAATTAAGTATTCACTTTTGCTGTGCATATACTAAAATTAGAATGATACGATGGAGATTAGCATGGCCCCTATGCAAGGATGACAAGTAAAAAAGTTCTGAAGACTGTGGGGTAGAATTCCATCCATCACATGATCTTTTTATCTCAAATTTCCTGTTAAAAATGTTATTATTGTATTATCTTATCTACTGCAAGATCTAAGCAGTGAAATTGTTTGAAGCAGTGCACAATTTCTACGAGAAGTTTGGTGAAATATTGCCATGAAAAAACCACCAGACACTGTGTATGTGTTGAAATAAAAAAATATGATCCAGTTTGAAACTCCAAAAAATTCAATTTACAATGTTTTAATAACTTTTTAATTAATATTTTTGATAATTATAACTTATATAAGATATTTGTTTCTGAACTATAACAAAATGTATAGTAAAAGTTGTGTTATTGCTTTACTAAGTTCTCACTATAATTATTGAAGATAATACAATTTTATAAATTATTAGATTAAAATATTTTGTAGATATTTATATTAATTTTTGTTTTAAAAAGGGATTTTTTGTTGTGATGTTTGATACATAATTTTATTGATAAATGGTTAGTAACACAGTACACAGTAGAACCTCCTGCCCAATTCGTGTTGGCAGAAATTTTGACCCTTTTGGGGGTTTTGTGTTTATTTTTTTTTAAATCTTATCAGAACTAATTATCTAGTATTAAATGTACATAGTTTAAAAATTATAAAGTTTATTTTAAAACACCTTTTTTTAAAATTGAAAGTATTTTATCCCTTCTGTCTTGGGAAATGAGTAAAACAAAGCCAGCAGTAGCCAAAACATGTATGATATACAATACAAACGAGTTCACATCCTTGCTGAAAGACGTGAAAGTATGCCCATACATGAACTGTCAAGAAAGCCCACTGCCTCAGACAACGCTGCCAGGTACGGTTTAAAAGGGCCACATGAAAGCACAAGTTGTGTAATTTCTCCTCTTGCAGAAGTTAAACGAGAGTTGCCCATAGAAGACCTTTCCATATCCGACACCCTCTTCTGTTCATACTGCAACACGGGTTTCTTAAACAAAGAACAGCAGAGAGCGCACTACAAGCAGGACTGGCATCGGTACAACTTGAAGCAACACCTCAACAACAAGAAGGCTGTTTCGGAAGAAAGATTCTCCCAACTGGTCGGTAAGTGAGAAGAAATTTTACGTAAATTTTCCTTGAAACAAACATGTTTATTCATTTTCAGAGGATGATCTATCGAGTATATCCGGGTCGGAGAGCAGCGATAACGAAGAAGGCGAGACCGATGCAAAAATTTTGGAGAGAGAGGCTGAAAGGAGACTTTCTCACCTGATAGCCAGGAGGTCGAGGGTTCTTTTTAACAATAACGAGGGGCAGGTCATATCAGTCCATCGATGTGTTTTACTAGGGAAAAAGGTAAAGTCTATCATACCCGATGACACAAATGTCTATCATGTCCTCTCATTTCTACTGGCTGTATCTACGGCTTGTTGCCTCTCACTGCCGGGTCGCAGGGTTTTGTAGTTCTGTTTAATTTATTGTACTAAACAGTTCATATTCTACTTTATTTTTTTTAAACGTTTTCCACAGTGGGTCCGTCAGAATAACAGACCTTTGGTATGGGCACCTATATATCTATTCTCCTTATTTATTCCTTTCTAATTGGATTCTTCTTTTGGTTGTGATGCCCAATGTGATGGACATAGCGGCGGTGGTCTGCTTTTACACAGACTTTGTTGATGATTACCCATCGATATTCTGATGTCATACGAAGGATTAATTTTTTTTAATTTAACTTGCAAATGTCTAACTAGTTAATAAATAAATGTATTCATAAATAATTATATAAATAAATAAATCTACATGCAATAAATTACTAACAATGTTCATAAATATTAATAAATAAATATTTAACAATAGAAACATCAAATTACCAGAATTAATGACGGTGTCAAAATTATAACAACAGAATATTGTAAATAAATGGTGTGCAGCCCGCCAACACAAGACAGGTGGTGTCACCTTACTTTGTTAAATTAATTTCCTTTGCCATTCGAGTTGTTGTTTTTTTTGGCTATTTTTTTTAATAAAGTTCCGATCTTAACCCTAAACTTAATTGATTTTCAGGAAAAAGAAACAACAGACGACTATTTGGTTCAAGTAATATCCAAACTTCCTTTCCGGACAAACTGGCTCATTGTAATGCTTGGCGGTGGGCATTTTGCAGCTGCAATTTTCAAAGGTTAAAAATAAAGTTTTCATATGTAATTTTGTTTTGTAATCTATGTCCATCTCCAGGTGGAGAGGCGATTCAGCACAAAACATTCCACTGTTACACCGTCAGGGCGAAACAGGGTGGAACGCAAAGTTCAAAAGACAATAAATCTTCTCATTCTAAATCAGCAGGAGCTAGCTTGAGAAGGTACAACGAACAATCGATGACTCAGGTAAAGTCATAAAATATTTGTTCTTTTTATGTAAGGTCTTGGTTGAGATGAAAAAGTTAGTATCACAAGCGGGATTCGAGCCAAAGATCGTGGGTTCGAATCCTGCTCGTGACACTTAACTTTTTCATCTCAACCAGGACCTTAGATAAAAAGTATAATTAGATGAAAGAAATAATTTGGTCAATCAGGCCACTAAACATAATGGATTCATAAAATAATTTTAGTTATTTTAAAAGGAAAAAGTATATTTAACACTATCATCCCTTCAGATGCCATTTTGGTGCTATGTTGGGTGAGCTACAGGACCTGGCCGTCTCAGATATCTTTGAGCGTGTTGGGTCTGGACTTTTCTGATTTCCCTTTGGTTTAGTGGAATACCTTTTTTCAGCCTACATTCTTTGTTTTCTGATCCACTCTGTATCTAGTTAGAATGGCATACTTCTTTAAGAGAATAACATTTCATAATTAGAAGATACAAGGTAAAAGTAAGTTATTAACAAAATTATCTTGCATGTTGATGACCATTGCGCCACATGAACCACTTTCTTTTGTGATTAATGAAGTGGGGGTTTAGTATTTCCAAGCACTGTAGCTTTATGACATTTTGTACTTTTCCTATTTTCTCAGTTCACTCCTTTTAATTAATATACCATTGATTGTTATTGCTGCCATTTTTTTCCCTGGGTTGTCTTTGGTACCAGATTTCCAGCAGGTCTTCATTGAGCACTTGTTTCGCATTTGAATATGATATGGGTAGCAGATTTGAAAAAACTCATTGTTTTTGTGTTTTCTTAGATGCCAGTGATCTATCACTCCTCTGAGTTTTATACTGTCTAACTGTAGCGATGTGCTTGTCACTTTTGAAAAGGGTTCTTTAATCGTGAATTGACTGTGACTGGCACCTCTGGAGTTTGTCCACTTCTTTGGTTTTTTGTGGACCCATTCTAAGATGGAGTTTATATTTGGTATAGATATCCCAAGTAGAGGTTCTGAGCCTGTATATATGGTCCTGCAGATCTATGTATTATTCAGAATTCCATTGTGCCCTGTTTTGGAAGATTTTGGATGCATTCACTATTTTAGACTTTTTGATGTGCTAATGTTTATAGGGCTGCTGAGCTGTTTATTGTTATATTGTTATAATGATTTTTTTTTTTTGTGTGTGTGTGCCAATGGAAGTATCAATAAACTTTTCCTTTATTATGCATACAAACAAATATTAACAAATTATTAATTGTAACTTTCAGCATGTTCAAGAATTGGTTAAAAACTGGGGTCCTGAGATTAATAAATGCGACCTGATATTTTACCGAGCCGTCGGAAGGGGCAATTCAGGAGTACTTTTCAGCGGCACACACCCACTTTGTGTCAAAAGCGACCCTAGGCTGAGGAAAATCCCTTTTACGACAAACCGTGCGACTTTTAACGAAGTGAAACGTGTACATGAGATGTTGTCGAGTGCTTTTATATACGGTAAATATTACTGCTATTCAAATTTAAAATTGTTATTTAATCACAGTCGTTTCCAGAATCGAATGAAATGTTCAAAACGACGTTCTCGTCTCCGAAAGCCGTTCGTGAATGCTCAGAGGAAAAAAGTGATACCAACGTGAGCACCACTAAGAAAATTGACAGGGGAAAAGAAAGGCCGAGTCCTGTCCGGGAATTGCCAGATATCGTACAACATTTAGCAGCAATTTCAACGTCTGGAAGTGAAGGAGGTAATTACATATTATAAAGTCAATAATTTATTAAAAATTTAAAATTGCTTTTTACCTTAACGATCAAATCACAAAATTTATTAATATGATCTTGTTCAAAGAAAATAAAAATTTAACTCTATCTTATAATAAATGCAGACTTTGGATTGATTAGTTGTAAGTAGGGACTTAAAACCTAGTCCAATAGGAACTCTTGTATGCAATCTTTCATGTACAATGTTTTAATAAAATTTTGACTTTTTATTTTATAGATCTCAACTTTATTGTGGAAGAAAATGAAGAAGTAGTGTCGTTCCTCGATTTAAAAGAGTTCGATGACACTGTCCCTCAACACATTAAAGACAGGATGAACAAGAAGCCTAAAAAGAAAAAAAAGGAACAAGAGAAAGGTAATAAATTATTTATTAATAGGCAAGTTTCTTTTTTTTTTAAAGGTCATATTTTGTAGATACATTGAAACCGGAACTTGCAAAGTTTTGGAAAAAAATCCACAGTGCTTGTCAAATGGGTGACACGAGCACTTTAAAGTCGACATTGGACGAAAGGGACAAAAACGAACTTACTGATGAAGAAGTGTCTTTTGTACTTAACCAGACAAACATATCAGGCGAGACGATACTCCATAACATGGCTGCCGAAGGAAATCAAGGTTCAGTACGACTCCTCATGCTCCATGGTGCCGATCCTTGCCTAAAGGACAAAAAATCCTTAACACCGTATGATCATTCAATAGACAAAAATATGAGGAATATATTTAGAAGGTTTATGGGTGAATATCCTGACATGCACGATTACTCAAAAGTAATCATCAATGTAATAATTTATTTTTGTTGTGTTTTCTCATTTTTTTGCCATTTCAGTCTCATATTCCGAGTGCGTTGACAGATGAGATTGAAGCAGAAATAGCGGAGAAGAGAAAAGCGGCTAAAAAAGCCAAAAGGGCTAGGGATAAAGAAAAGAAAATAGAAAAGGAAGAAAAAAAGAGAGAAGAAGAAGAGAAAATTAGATTCTTGAACCTTTCAGACCGTGAAAAGGTATTTTTCAGGCTAAAACTAATTAAATTTCTTCCTTCTTGGCAAAATAATTATATAAAATTTTTTATATATCCAGATGGCATTAGCTGCTGAAAGACGGATTTTGAATTCCATGCCAGGAGGTGCGAATGTAGTTTTGGTCCGATGTTACACATGTGCTGATGATATCACTGGAAAAGTACCATTTGAATATGACAACTACAGGTATTTTTAGTCGTCTACCAAAATTAAAGAAATATCTAATACTTTGTTTATTTTAGGTTTTGTAGTATGCCCTGTTTAAAAGCTCATAGAATGAAAGGAAAACAACTTTGATGTGTTCAAGCTTCAGCATGAAAAATTATTGCATTTTTGCATTGTGATATTTGGCCGTGCGTAAAAATTCACTGGCATTCAATTGTCACATTTACTAATAAACTGTTGTCAAACTGCTGAAACAAAAGTTATTTTAAAAACTGTGAGATTTTCCATCCATTTTTACTTGTAAAAACAGTACAATAAATTTTGTTTGTTAAATATTATTTGGGAGGCTGTGAAAGCATGTTTAATTGATTTAACTTAAATTTTCCAACTCTATTCCAAATGCCTAGTTAATTGTCAAACTAAAATTAAGACAGTTAGAATTCCACCCTGAGATCATGGGTGATAGAAGATCGAAGAGCCGGTCTGACAAAACATCAAAAACGGGATTCTGGCATCGCGCCAAATCCTTGGCAAATCGGTACATCGGGATTGAAGAGGAGGAATTGAGAAAGAAAGTATCGCATAATGTAGCAAAGGCAGATCACTCGAAGCAATTCGACTTGTTAAATTTGCAAATTGATATGTTAGAAAAGAAACTGAAAATGTTAGAAGATCTAGCTATCGAAAATAAGGACAAACAATTGGGCAATAGTAAGTGATTGGAGGTAAATCAAATGGTATACGGGGTTTTAACTCGTACACGTATCACTCATACATGTTGAACTGTAAATACAAATTAGTGTATTGTAATATTAAGGTGTTAAGCTATTCTCTCGGGTCACTGATGATGTCTCCCTTCTTTAACTGCGACCTAAAAGATCTTCGTGTACCCATCTTTATTTCTACACTACTTAAGGAAGTTGAGACCTTTCTGGGTCCTCTTCACTCATTTCCCAAGGCATTTGCGTTATTTTTTCCAGTGGTTATAATGTTTTAGTCACATAGGACATGTTTTGATGTCTTTTCTGTTTCATGGCAAGTTGCTGTCTCTGTTTTTCCCATTTTTGAAGGTGGAAATTAAGCGATCATTGGCCAGTATAAAGGTCTATTATTTTTCTTTCCTGCCTGCTGAGAGAGTGGTAGATTTTTGTTTCCCTGGTTGAGATGTTAAGGAAATTCTTTGCTCGTTTTACACCTGGTGAATTTATCCAATGTGTGGTCATTTCTTTCTCCATCCGTTTGTTCAGTTGTCTTTAAGCATGCTTTAAGGCTGGCCATAAAAAAGCCTTGCCAGTTTGTGGTTCTGGTTCAAAGTGTGAGGTGATTTCGCTAGTTTATCAGCCTGTTCGTTACTTTGTTGCTTTTGATCCTCTCATGTCCTAGCTATTAGAGTTATCTGATTTCATTTTTCCAGAAGTTTGATACGTTACACATTCCCAGACCAGCTTTGAGATCTAAGACTACCTTTGTGCTGTTTGACTGAATGAGAATTTATATGTGGACCTTTAATCTCTTTTTAAATATTTCTTGTACACAGAGTGCTGTTTATATCTCAGCATGGAAAACTGTGTGGGTCCTAGAGGTTTCACTAGGTCAAAATTTAGTCTTTTGACTCCTGTCCCTACTCGCATGTTCTATTTTGGATCCAGTTTTGTATCACAATGATGCCCCTTAGTTTTCAGTTCAAGTTTTTATTTTTCCAAATATCTGTGGGTTTTTTTTTTTGTTTCTTTGTTTTGGAACATTCATTAAGTATTCATTAAGTACGGACCTATGAAATATCAAATTCCATTTTTTAGCATGATTTTTAGCATGACTAGAAATTCATAAAGCAATAAATAAATAACAAGTAACGAGAGCAATAAAGATTGATTGACACAATAAGTACTAAGAATAAAAAATTTCGGTGTGAAAACAACAGCAAAGGATAACAACAACATGAATAAATAAAGGTGCAGACCTACCAAATAACAAATTACATTTTGACAAAACTAACAATTTGAAGACACAAACTAATAAATTAATAACAAGTAACAGATGCAATAATTAACTATCAACTAACTATAATAAATACTACAGAATAAATACAGATCAAACGCTCGGGAAGCTAATAGCCGTCCTACGAGGAGGGGATCTCCGCCGGCCGCAGAAAGCCATCCCCGGGGAGGCTCTCGTCCAAAAAAATATGTGTGGTTGAAATAATTATTTGAAAGGTCTGTCATGTCTTTTTATTGTCATTTTTATTTTTTTTAGGATTTTATGTTGGCTTTATTTCATATTTTACTAAGACTCTTTTTGAACTTCTGTATGCCTTTCGCTGATATATGTATGCAATAGTGAATCCTTGTGCCATTTGTATATTGACCTTACCCATTGTCCATAGCTTAGTTTATTTTCCTTTATGACTTTCGGTAATACTTCATTCATGTCTGGCATTGTTAGACCTTTCCAAAATGGTATGATATACAAAGAAAGAACAGTCGAAGAACATCAGGTCTTTCTGTCCACTGTGATCTAACTAGATCAACCTTACTTGCTATCTATATCAAGGTGTACTCTTTTAAGAATTTGAGCACTTTCCTAGGTAATAATTTGCTAATTTGTAGTTTCTTTTACCTTTCTAAAATGGTGGCATTGTTTCCAAGCTAAAACTTTGCAGACAAAGGGGGCATGAACTTTTGTGCACTGTAACCTACTAATATCAACACGTGATGCCCATGCCTATTTGTATTCTAATAAGCAATATTTTTTTCATTTCTGGATCATTATATTATTAATACCAAAGTAGTGGTATGGTATTCAAAATAAGGATTCATAGTCACAGAGGTCTAAGGGTCCTCCAGTTCACTGTGAACTAACAATATGTTATATTGTCCTTACTGGATGGACTCTCGTGGACTAGCATGGACTCTCTTTTAAGAATTTGAGGAGTTTTCTAAGTAAAGCTTTGCTAATTTCTCAAGCTTTGTTTTTCCTTTCTAAAGTGGTGGATGTATCAATTCAATGGCCACAGAGGACATAAGGCTTCTGTAACTGTGACATATCAACTTGCTTGATGTCCATTACCCTCTTCTTATTAATACTTGGTTCATTTCTAGAGCAATACCTTTTCCAAAGTGTTGGTACTGTAACTTGGACATATTGGATCCATCAGTCCTTACCACATCTACTGTATAGACTCTGATTTATCCATAACCTCTTCTTTAAAAATTGATGCACTTCTAAATGAAAGCTTATTACCTTTCCAAAGAAGCATTGCCCAACAAAAAGTTCTCAATGCATTGGCCATGTTCTGTCTATACTTCTTCTTGGCAGTCGGCATGCATCTGTCTTCCAATTAGCCTGTTTTTTAATAGTAGTTCAATGTGCAATGGTTAACTTTGTCAGTTGTTTTAGTTTAACTTTCTTCAGTGGGCCTTGGTTCTGGTTCTTTGGATGTAACTGCTCTTGTTACAAATTTGCCCACTAGTTAAATTTCTTCATCTCACGTTCTGGCACTCAGATTAATTTGTCTTAGTATGTACCTTGGTCTTTCTCGTTCATCTTGGTCCGTCAATGCAATGCTAGAAGAGAAATTATTACAGTTTCATCATCGTATAGTCTAGTTGTAAGATGTTAGATTGAGGACCGAGTTAGCCGAGTGATTAAGGCGTCAGACCCTCAGCTAGTAGATCCCGCGGTCGTGGGTTTGATCCCCACCGTCGCCTCTGGACTTTTTCTGATGCCTAAGGGAACCATTGGCCGCAATTAAAAGAAATTGACACAGCACTCATCAATGGAAGGAGCGGGATCAGATCTCAGCGACCCTGAATTTGGTCCTAACCCCTTCAAAAATGAGTTTCTTCGATGTAAGAACACTGGCACACTGGGGGCCCAAATTCACACTTGTGTTGCCCCCCAAAAAATGGAGCCAGGGATAAAGTACAATAAGCTGTACAGCTGCAGTGCTCAGGAGGGAACTCCTACAGTTCTTGGTATCCATGTTAGATTTTCCCAAACTTCTAAGTTTTCATGCCTTTTTTGAGTATTTCCATGGGCAAAGTTTAATTATTTTTCATAGCTTGAAAGCTTGGGTTGTGTCCTTAGTGTTTTACTAAAGATATCATTTTTTGTTGTACTTTGGATCCATGGTGGTTGACCGTACTAGGATGCAAGTTATCAGACTACTCAAGATGTCTACATGGTCAATGAGCAAATCTCAACGCAAAAAACAAAAACAAAAAAACTCTGTTTTATTATTATGTAAAAGCTGTGTCATTTTTGTCTATTTTGTAATTACACACATTCCTGAGTTATGTTTGAGTGATTTTATTCAGTCTTCAGTGGTAAGTTTGATAATTTTTGTTTTATTTTGAAGGCTTTCTCTTGTCGGCATTACAGACTGTAATTGACTTAAATACATTAGAAATCTGTTATAATTTTAAGACGTTTTTTCTAAATAATGATTTTTGTGCATCTATATTTTTAAAAACCCTTTCTCAGGAACTTTGCTCCAGGTCGATGAAGAAATCGTTAAACCGAAGGAAGAGTACTTCGAGGAAAGTTCTGAAGTGAGCTGCTGCGAGACAAACTCAATGTTCACACTGGAAGGGTCGCTCAGCACTAGTTATCCGATACATTTCAACTCGCAATATTCGCTCGATGCAAGAAACGTCGGCATCGCAATTAACAAAAGTTGCACATTGACGATGCCTTTCATCTATAACGTATCTTGTCAACAGTCATCGCAAGAATTTTTTGAAAACGACGAAGAACCAGTTTGCACCCTCACTTATAACAAAGTAAGAACGAAACTCGTTTGTAGACGTAAATGTTCAAAATTTTTCCATGGTTCTAGGAAACTCGGCAGATCGTGATCGACTATAGGAAAAACAAGGACGCCGAATCCAAGAGGATTTGCATCAACGAACTCGGAGACAGTCTTGAATTGGTACAGGCGGAGATAGTGGGCAGGGTTGTTTGTTATTTGCTCGGCATTTTTCAAGAAATGCCACAAACTGACACTGTTATTTTTGAAGAAGCAAAAGAGGACGAGTCACTTAAATAATTTTATAATTAAACACTGGTATTCAGCCCAAATAAAATTTGACTACATTTTTATTGCTGGCATTGTATTGCATATGCTCCTGGCGCAGTGACCTTCTCATGATCAATGTATTCAGCCAGTATTGACAGTTTCAGCTTGCTCAAATTGAATGTAATAAGTTTATTTCCTCCATTTATATGCTAAGTTGTAAAATCAAGAATAATTTTCTATTCAGTAGGATATCAAGAAAGTTAGTGGTAATTGCAAAGTTGCAATAAAAAAAGTATATACCTTACCCAACACTTTATTATAGTCTTTTTATCATTTGGGCTGTAGTAGCTTGAGCTTGCTTAGATATTTTTTGCTTTGCACCTATTTGCTCATCAAAGCCCTTTGGATTGTCTGTAATGTGCCTAGGGTTTTTTTTCATCACAAGATGATGCAGATGCTTTCAGCGTAGTTCAAGAGATTGTTTTTCAGCATTGCTTTAAATCAATCTACGCACGAGGTTTCTGATATGCTGTGCTTCATTTTAGTCTTAATTTGGATTTCTGATCATTTTTGTCATTCCCACCGTTCTAGTCACACACCCACTACTGAAGATGGTAAGAAACTGAAATGCATCTGACATCTAATCAACGAGAATAAAGAGATCAAAATGGTCAGAACCGACTAAACTAATAAGCAGACCAGGATGATCGGAAACAAGATAATTTTATCGCACGCTTCAACACAATTTGATTTTGAGCATGTGCTTTCCAAAAGCACTGCATAAGGAGATATTAATAAATTGAAAAGTGTACAAAGGCTAGTTACCATATTTGTCCCTCAACAGCTAAGGAAAAAGCACTGAAAGTTCCTGACACCTTAGGCACACAAAAAACATTTAAAAACCCATATCTAAGAAGCATAACAAAATTCTGAAAAAAATAAAATAAATGAGATGGCTACAACGTTAACCGAAAAAATGATATGACACAACATTGACATCCTTCAAAGTGGTCCTGGATAATGGAGATCTTTGGAAGATCTCTCTCTATATGGTACACTGATATATCAAAGATGGAATGAGGTAGTAGGTTGGGCCTAATTTCACCTAGCTAAACTCCTGGGACTGGTCCCAACAATCTTTCATATGAGGTCCATGCAAAAACTCTGTGCAGGAGGTTGTAAAGAAAAGTATGAAAAGAGCACTTGCATTTACATATTTTCAGACGGTTAGGCAGCTATAAAGGTACTAAATGTGTCTGCTTTTAGCTCCAAACTAGACTGGTATTGCTAACGGCCCTAGGAGAACACAACAAGGTTATCTGATGGGTTCTGGGATTTATGTATAAAAGGAAATGAACAAGCTGACCAGCGAAAACAGGGGCAACCCACTCGCCCATGGAACCAGAGCCATTAATAGGGCGTTCTATTGACGTAGCTGGAAAAATTCAAGCACTGAATAAAAGCACCAGTTATTAAGCCCTCTTAACTACCACCTAAAGAAGACAGACAAAGCTAAGTTTTAAAATTTCAAGAAAAAACACATTAACATACATACATATTTTGTGAATACGAGACACTGAAAAAAGTGCTTATTTTTATGGAAAAAAGCGACGTTCCCATACTATGGTCTTCGTATGGGTTCCACTATAGATCGCAGTAAAATATAAGTCCGTGTATGTTTAGCTGTCATAATTGACTGTATTATTTCAATTAATTATACTTTTTATCTAAGGTCTTGGTTGAAATGAAAACGTTTGTGCCATGAGCGGGATTCGAGCCAAAGGTGGTGGGTTCAAATTCTGCTAGTGACACTAACTATTTATCTTAACCAAGGCCTTAGATAAAAAGTATAATTCATTGAAATAATTAGTACGGTCAATTTTGACTGCTAAACATATATTGATTAATGTAACAATTAAATTATTTGGAGATCATGAGGTGCGGTCTGGTGTGACATAGTTTTAGAAAAAACATTTTCTTTATGATGCCAATGTTTAGATCTTTATTGAGATCATCTTCAGGGCCTGGAATTTATAAACATTCTTTGAATTTTACAAATACATGTAGGATGTGGGATAAATGCATTTATACAATTCTAGAAAATTTTAGATTTATAAAAAAAATGAATTTATAAAATGCTTGAAAATTTTAGATTAAAAAAAATGAATTTATACAATGCTAGAAAATTTTAGATAAAAAAAATGAATTTATACAATGCTAGAAAATTTTAGATAAAAAAATGAATTTATACAATGCTAGAAAATTTTAGATTCAAAGTATTCGTACTCACTCAAAGTGTTTGTTTTCTGCGTAGTTGTGTCATTCTTGGGTATCGTGTTGAGAGTGCCAGTGAGATACTGATCAATGAAAACAAACACTTTGATTGAATCTAAAATTTTCTAGCATTGTATAAATTTATTTTTTTAAATCTAAAATTTTCTAGTATTGTATAAATTCATTTTTTTCCCACATCCTAAGTGTATTTGTAAAATTCAAATAATGTTTATAAATTCCAGGCCCTGAAGATGATGTCAATAAAGATCGAAACGTTGGCATGATAAAGAAAATGTTTTTTCTAAAACCTACGTCAAACCAGATTGCACCTCATGGTCTCCAAATAATCATTGGTTAACGCGCACTAAACACCACACATAATAATAAAAAGAAGTAATTACTTTGCTAACGCTCCCCGTGGCATAAGTCACCAAGAATCGAAACTTGATTAACAATAGTTAAAAATATGGCAAAAATGGAAAATTCTAAAGTTTGTAGGATGAGATGAGGAATCAGTGTCCGACCGGATCGAAGTCACATAGCTCAAGTGGTTAGAGCAATGTTGAGCTGAGTTATGGGTTCCAATCCCGCTTGTGATACTAACTTTTTCATCTCAACCAAGACATTAGATAACAAGTATAATTAATTAAAGTAAAATATAAGGTTGAATTTCTTATTTGACCCCCCCCCAACCCAAACAAAGACAAAAAAATGTGTAATGACTGATGTATTCGTTCCAAATATAACATTTTTGGTTGCTTGGGGTGGTTTTAGTTACCATAAAAATGTTATAAAAGCCTTTTTTTAATTTATATTTAAAAACTTTACAAGAGAAGGTTCAGAAGGTTAAAAGTATCACTATCAATTAACTGAATAATCATTTTATAGTTCGAAGTCACATTTTGGGTGATACAAAAATAAAATTTTTCTTTATTTTCTTCTGGACTATTCGAATAACAAATTCTCAAATGTGATTAAATTATTATAACAGAAAATAGTAAACAAATTTTACAATAAAAAATATTTCTTCTTAAATAATTCTTAAAAAAATATTTTATTTTTCTTAAAGTCTAAAGTTATTATTTTTTAAATTCACTATTTTTTGTGGTCCGCTTGACCAATTAGTAACATTCAATTAATTAAGGTTTTAAGTTGAGATAAAAAAGTCAGTGTCACGAGCGAGATTCGAACCCACGACTTTCGGCTTGATACACCGCTCCTCTACCACTTGAGCTATCGTGACTTCGATCCACTCGGGCACTAACTTCCCATCTTGAAAAATGGCAAAAAGGAGGGATTGAGATGGGAAGTTAGTGCCCAAGTGGATCGAAGTCACGATAGCTCCAGTGGTAGAGTAGCGGCGTATCAAGCCAAAAGTCGTGGGTTCGAATCCCGCTCGTGACACTGATTTTTTTTATCTCAACTTAAAACCTTAATTAATTGAATGTTATTATTTTTTTATAGACAAATTTAACCCAGATGTAAATTGATTTAATAACTAAATCATCCTTGAGGGCATATTTATTTTGATCTTCACGGTAGAGGCTAAAATAAAATCACATTATAAAATTAATTAAAGTCTCTTCCAGAATTTATTTTAGAAATTCCACAGAATAAATCTAAGCTGGAAAAAAATTTCCATATTGTCAATTTCTTAATTTGATATTTAGCAGATTTTTGTGCAAATTAGCTTTGTTTCTAGCAGCATTTTCAAATCGTACAAATTGAACAAATGTGGGCAATAAGTTAATGTTAAAGCTTACTCACAAGTAGTTAACATTATTAAAAACATAAACCAGCAACGAAAATACTTCTCATGATAAACATATCACATTTTAAGATTAAATATAAATAAGTGATAATATAAAAGTTACAAATATATATGTTCAAAATATTTTCAACGAAAAAAGAAAAACGAGACAGAAATTTTTTTATCAAACAACGTTGTCACAGCCATGAATGATTTCAGACGGTTTCATCGTTATAAACTCGAGTAAGATTTAACTTTCCAGGTTTCCAACGGTTCGTCTTGAATGTTTTTAACCGACCTCCGTCCCCATCTGTACCATATGAAACCGATCAACGAGCAAATGAACGTTTCGATGTAATACCCGTCCAACCATGTATGGCACTTCCCGCCTTGTGTGTCGCAGACTTTGAGCGTGGCCTCCGTCGAACAGTCGAGACCCGACGTCGAGCAACTCTTCAGCGTGACATAGTCTACAAGCCAAAGGGCCAATGTCGAACTCCAAGTGCCGCCGAGGTTGCACAGTGTATTGAATAAAGTCATATAAGTGCCTCCTGCAGCTGTGTCTGATATGATGGCGAAAAATGACATAATTTGGACGTACATTACTGTCATGATCGACTAAAAATTAAATAGAATATTATACAAGAAATAAATTTATTAGTAAATTATAATTAACTTACACTATGTACACCTAGTACGATTAGAACTGCGACATAATAAATTGTTGGCATTCCATCTTGGCCAACTAACTTTGGAGTTATAAATACAAACAATGCAGCTACAAAATTGTAATACAGCCTGTAAACGAAAAGTGTATTTAAGAAATAAAGTTATTAATTTTTATTGTTGCACATTTTACTCACCGATATGGCATTGCTTTAAAATAAAGGTTAAGAGGTTTTCCAGGTTCATTGAATTTCGCTACCACTATAGGAAGTACGATCTGCAGTGGCACGAGTGGAACAGCCAAAATTGCAAGTTTTTCCTTAGGGATTCCACCCTGCATCAGTTTCAAGCCTGTCAAACCATCACAAGCAGCAAAGCCAATCTGCAAAAAATATCATAAAATCATTTCTGTACAGATGAATTATGACAAAGTCGACAAACCTTAGCAGTTAGTAGCACAAAGGCGAAAAATTTTACATTCGGAAGGCACAGGATGTTAATAAGGAGCCTGTAACTAGATAAAATCGCTTCTGAAGATGATACACCCATTCTGAGCGGTTCATACTTTTCACTTTTAAATACTGCAATTAGTGTAGTGACCACCAAAAAAGATATACCAAGGAGAAACATAAATCCTGAAATTTAAAAAAAGTGAAGTATGGCAAGTTTTAATTATTGTATTTTGTTTTGATTTACCAGGTAAAGTGATTATTCCAACATCTTTAGGCTCAGAACGCAAATAAGAATTACAAAAAGAAGCACTTTCCAAGGCGATGAATACAACATAGCCTAAAAAATAGCCCGTAGTCTGTCCTACACTATTACACGTAGATGCGTAACTTTTATTTTCTCTAAAAACATAAATAAAATGTTGCAAAATATTTCTGCTTATTTCTATTGGGTCAAATTTCCATTTCTTTTTACTTTTTGAGCATCGTGAGCGCCCAGCCGTCCAGCGCGATGTCTTGTGTCGCTGCTAAGGAGTTCATGATGAAAAATAGAACCGTCAAGAGCATGATCTGAGGGTTCTCTTTCGTCTCGACATTGCCCAACCAACTGTCAATATTCATTGAGCTGAACAACATGGAGATGCCGATCAAATATTGTGCAGGGACGAGCCATGTTTTCCGCCTCCCGAATTTTTTTATGTAGAGCGAATCGACTAGAGGTGCCCACAAGAGCTTCAGAGAAAAAGGCCACAGGGCAAAACTGAATTCAGCCTTAAAATAAAAAAAATAAATAATGAGAATCACATATATTGTTCAACATTGTTTTAGATTGTATGTACTCAAGTAATATTTAAAGAAATGTGAAAGGCACAAAGGTTGCCAGATGTTGAGTGTTGAGGTGTTACATTATTAACAAAAAGAATTTATTTTACTAGAGAAAAACTGGGAAATGGAAAATAAGTGATAGATGTTTTGAAAGGAAGTCAAAAGAAAAAATCTGGACAAATTATCCAAAATTAAATTTTTTGAGAAATGTCATTAGAAATGTAAGACCACTGAATGAAGAATTTTTTTAAACAAGGGTTTCAACTATGAGATAAGAGCCCTCAGGGTGCTGGTGTTTTGAAAAAAAAGCTATTTGTATGTCGGGTTTGAATGCAGGGACGCTGGATTCGAACCCGGGACCTTTACCTTACAGTAATGAGCTCATGTCAACACCTCAACTGCTTTGGCCACCGACATCTCTAATGAAGAAATTAAAGAGAGGACTAATAATAATAAAAGTTACACAGACTGGACCAGCATTGAAGATTGTAAGAAGCCAGGATGGTTTGACCCCTTGTTCACGTCATCCAGTCAGTAATTGGATGTTAATGAACACTCACGATCAAGTTATGGTCTTGAAGAAAAAAGCAAATTCAGTTGTTGCTGCCAAGCTTTCGACCTATTTAAGGTCATCAGGGCAAAACACTCTTAAATATGTCTACAGAATGACATATTTAAGTTTTTTCAGGTGACATCGAATTTCCTTGATGTCTCAATGTTAACATTGCCAAGGACTGAACAGTGTCACTGTTAAGATTCCGTCTCTGTAATTAACAAATCTGTCTGCATTGAGGATTAATATCCAGGGTGAAAAAGAATTGTTGGGTCTGTGAATGGCAAAAAACAAATGGGCCAAGGTTTGGCTGGAAGTAATGACAGAGCTAAAAATCGTGAACTGAATTTTTTCTTCAAGACCACACCTTGATCGAGTGTTCGTGAGTGAAAAAGTAGTCGATACTTCTAACATTGAACAGTTGGATGTTAAGCCCACCTGTACCACTGAAATTAATCTAATGCTCTGTTATAACCACCCACAATCACAAGTGCTCTGTTGTGTCTGACAAAATGAGAGAAAAGCTCAACTTTGACAGACCCTTCTAAGTGGACATAAGACTATGGAGGCATTTGGAAAAAAAAGGTGGCCTCCAAATTTCAAGAAGTATCGCTAATATGGTACAAAGATGGGCCGAAGATGGAACTGTAAGTAGGCATGAGGATAAAAGGGCCGAATTTCACCCTTGCGAAACCCCTTGGACTAACCCCAACAATTTTCCAAGCTAAGTCCATGCAATACAAGTGTCCCTGGATGCAATCTGTGCACAAGAATTAATTAAAAAAAATATGAAAGGTGTGTCCAGGCACTAAATGTGTATAATTTCAACTCCAAACTGAGAAAGCAAAGTAAGATTACCTTACAGTGGGTTCCTGGACATGAAGGTCTAGAAGGAAACAAACGGGCTGACCAAGTAGCCAAAAAGGGGGACAACAACTCTGACACTCATGGGACCAGAACCACAACTAAGTACTCCGGAGGTTGTGCTTAAGTTAAAACTGGAAAAATGGATTGAGAAATAAAAACTCAAACGTTCCAAGTATGAGCCAAGCTAAGAGATTTATTGATCTCTCAAAATGAAAGGTGGAGGAACTCATCTCTCTCAGCAGGCAGAATTGGAGGATTATAGTCCTCTATACCGACCACTGCCCTCTTAACTATCATCTTTAGAAGATGGGCAAAGTTGAGACAGAAATGTGCTGGCTCTGTCAGGAGGAACCAGAGACATCGGCACATATCCTTTGTGAACGTAAAGCCTGTTTATGGTACAGCCAAGAGGCACCAAGGAATGTGCTCATTTTCATAAGGAATAGTGTACTTTCCCTACTATTCCAGGTATAGGCTTTAAGCTATAAGGGGTTCCACAAAAGACCTGTTTAGGTCACAGTGGAGGGAAGAACTGCTCACCCCCCCCCCAATAAAAAACTGCTCATTGTGGTGGCATCTTATTCACTTTACTTTTCTGTATAGAGCTTATGTATGACGTATGCAAAACTCAAAAGTGTAACTGTGTAAACCCTATTCTGAACCAAACTACTCAAGAAAAATTATTTATATTAGCCTACTTTCTCTACATATGGAGTCAAACCATTCCTTCACCAAGCAATCCCATGGAACTCACCTAGTTCAAGCAGGAAATACTATAGCCTGAAACTATGTACTCGTCAACTTCATACAACCTACAAGTATGCCTAGCAAATCTATCCATATGTTTACAAATAATGGTCTCACATATATGACTGTCTGAAATGCCTGTCAGCTTTGACAGTTAGATGTTCCAAGGTTTGCATCCTACTCAATGTCTAACCAACGTGTACAGTATGTCATAAAAATACATGATGATGAGGAGGATACTAGGAAGTGGGGTTTGTGTTCTCCAGGCACTGCAGCCCTCTGGCTTGTTGTACCTTCCTAGTTTCTTAGTTCAGTGTAATCTACTCAATCTTTCTTCTCAGAAGTTTTAGGTCATTATAAAGCTACATAAAACAAGGGCTTATGTTTAAAGATATCTAGACTGTTATTGTTATGACTGCCAAAGTAGACAGTTAACAATGTGAGGTTTAATAGAATTTTATACGAGGGTAATTAATTAATGTGGATGAGACATCAAGGTGTTATATGGAGTACTGGGTACCTGTTGAGTGTAGGACGCCCCTTGATTCTGCAAGATGAAAGGTATGGCAGCCGTGAGGCCGAGTGGGACCCCCTGCAAGACGTAGAGCAGGACGAGGAGGATGATGTTGGTCCTGTCTCCCCGAAGATCCGGCAAGTCCTCAACTTCCGGCATATCCAGGATACCACCGCCTTTCCTTTTCCTGAGCTGGGACATCAGTGGGTAGGTTGTCGGTATAGGACGATTGTCGAAAAAGCTTTCGAGCACTTCGGCAGTTCTAGGATCGGGGTTTTCCCAGAGAGACCGGTGGGTAAGCGTTCTACTGACCTTTCACTGAGTCCAATAAACCCAATCAAGCGGCATAACGACGAATTTCATAAAGTATAACAACGTAAGGTTATAAAATGCCATTGGTCCACGTCGATTTCCACCAAGGTCGTCGAATTGGCAAAATAATCGATGACATCTTTTCAACGTGGTCCTTTAATACTCATTAACCTTTATTAAACATCAACTCACGCATGACCGTTCTGTAGGGTACGCGGTCACTCGAAGACCAAGACCCAAAAGTAAAAGCGTGGTCGTAACCTACCATCATGGAGGCATTTAATGTAAATTTGAATTTGGAAAACCCATTGACCGTAAAATTGACCATGCTAATTTTTGATTTATGTATTTAAACATTTATTTCAATGAAAAACGATTGAAGTTGAAATTAAAGGGAAATAATTTAAAAAAATGTTGGCTGTTTTTGTTTTGGGTTTTGTACGGAATAGTAAAAGAGCGGTCTGTAGGGTAGCCGCCAGGGGCGAAGCGCTGGTGCGTCGATCATCTGTTCTCGGCTCCACGAGCGACCTTGCGTCCCCGAAGCGAAACAAGACCAGCCGAGACCCGAGCGAAAAAAAAGTCTTTTGTTTTAAGTTTCAATCTTTAAATCAATCTGTAAATCAGAAACGGCGCCGATTGTCGAGGAGTGGACCTGAAAATTGAATGTATTCGCCAAATCCGAAACGCCCGAGGTGAAAAGGAGCAACGTCGTACCGGTGGAAGACGTCCGCTCTCGGCAAATCGGCCTCAGCCCGTCACCTTTCGCGTTTCCCCCTTCTGGATCTCTTTATTTGAAGATGTCGACCGAGAAGAGCGCCCAGCCGACGTCCAACAACCCTCTGGAGCAGTTCGTGATCCTGGCCAAGGCGACCCACGGAGCGGCCACCGTCGAGCTCGTGAGGCAGGTTCTCGCCGCGCCGGGTGTCCACGTCTTCGGCGAACTGCTCGATATGCCCAGCATCAAAGAGGTAACTACATCATCATGCTAAATTTGCCCCGATTAACAGGTTGATCAGGTTAGATTCGTTCTTTGTTGGCGTGGAAACGCCAGGAAATTCAGGTTTCAACGGAACACCAACTCAAACCACCCAAGAATCTCATTTCACCATTTAATCATTTTAATTATAGTAAACCATATTTGAACTAGAGCTGCATAATGCAGTGAAACAGTATACTGTATATTTTCAACTTAAGTGTGGTTGATGCTGGGTTTTGGTCTGTGGGACTGTAAACCCAGTGCTGAAACATGATGTTTCCACGTCCCATGTGAAACAACCTGTGCCCACATCTTTGGCGAACTGCTCAACATGCCCATTATCAAGAGATAACCAGATCATTATGCTAAATTTGCCCCGATTAAAAGGTTGATCGCTCTTTCTCGGCATGGAATTGATGCCAGGAAATCCAGGTATCAAGAGAACAACCAACACAAACCACCCAAGAATCTCATTTTACCTTTTAACCATTTAAATTATAGTAAACCATATTTGAACAAATGCTGCATAATACAGTGAAACAGTATTCTGTATATTTTCAATTTAAGTGAGGTTGATGCTGGGTTTTGGTCTGTGGGATTGTAAACTCATGCTGCAACATGGTGTGTTCATGTTCCATGTGAAACAACGGGTGTCCATGTCTTTGGCGAACTGCTCAACATGCCCAGCATCAAAGAGGTAACCAAATCCTCAAGCTAAATTTACCCTAATTAACAGGTTGATCAGGTTAGATTCGCCCTTTGTTGGCGTGGAATCAATGCCAGGAAATTCAGGTTTCAACCGAAGAACAACTCAAACCACCCAGGACCAAACCCCATTTTACCATTTAATCATTTAAATTATAGTAAACCATATTTTTTGAACAAGTGCTGCATAATGCAGTGAAATAGCACACTATATTTTCAACTTAAGTGAGGTTGATACTGGGTTTTGATCTGAGAAACTGAAAACCCGTGCTGAAAAGCATTGGGTCTGTCTTCACACATGGGTTTGTTGAACTACTGAAACCTCAGAGTGAAGTTGGACCCAATGCGGTTCAGCATGTATGTGTGGTGTCCGTTAACTTTCTTCTAAACAATAAATCAATCATAAAGTAAAAAGGCTCAATGTCCAAATGTTGTGTGTCATTGGTGAGTGGTCTCAGCGTATAAGCAGCTGGCGAACAAAGGGTGGTTACCACTAAAAAACCAACAAAGCCAGTCAATGTCACCAAACCATTTTTGTCTTTTGATAAACCATAAACAATACCAATTGCAAATAGTATTGGCATATTATCTATAATTGCTGTCCCTGATTTAATCAGTAAAGCAGCATTATTAGCTTCCCAGGCAAGGAGCATTTACAAAAATATTTTTTTTCTTATAAAATAAGGGACTCCTCTGTTTAGGGGGCAATTTAAGATTCATTTTCTATGTAGTAGACCTAATTATACATCATTCATTACTGGACGATGTTATTTTCCCTGGCATTATTCCGTTTAATTTTAAAAATAATTTTTTAGGATTCCAAAAATTGCATATTTCAGTACTTAAGGTGGATCCAGACATGTGGGATTCACGGAATGCTGAGCAAAGGTTCTCCAAATCATTACTAGTGGGCATGAATGCTCGGCGAATAACCATTATTCGGTGCTAACGGGAGCAATAATTTGGAAAGCTTCTCTTACGAGTCATAAAATCGGAATGAGGTTAAACGCATTGAAAGTGAAATGGGGCATCAGTACTCTGTGACTGATAAAAAATAAAAAAAGATTCACTAATGGCATACTTCAAAATCTGCCTTAAAAAAAAAAGAAAAAAAAGGAGAGTGTCAAAAGTGTGGCAGGTGTGGATGGTTTAATGATACCATCCACCATCTCCTTTTCTTACACTTTTTGTTTACAGTTAGTTTGTAGCCACTGTACAAAAGAGTAACTGTAGCAGCTGCAGTAACAGTTTCACTACTGTCCACCACGACTGGTAGTAAGTTGAGGACTCGCATGGCACTTGGCAGATACGTATTCGCTGTTTCTGCAACAACTATATATGCTATTTGGCAAATGCCAAGGCAAGCATTTTGAGACTTGGCAAACATTCATTGGCAATACTGCATGTCTGGAGCCACCTTTATGTACAACCTAAACCTACGCTTGGGATGCCACTCACATGAATAAATACATTCATCTAGTATCTGTAAAAATCATGCGTTCAGTATAGTTATCCCAATTGATTCGACAAGTATGTAGGGTGCTCTATATTCCACCCCAGACAGCGTTAATACACATGCGAATAAATCCATTTATGGGAATAGTTAAGTCACCCAGGTTTTGAGTTATGTCAGTGACTACCACTAGATCCCACAATTTTTTTTTTCCAACTAGAATGTTATGTGAACCGTCAGGCTGGGGGTGTTAAAAAAAAAAAAAAAGCCCATTTGTAAGTATGTCTGGTTCGAATGCAGGGCTGCTGGATTTGAACCCAGAACGTTTTCTTTACAGTGATAAACACCATGTCAGTGCCTAAATGGTAGCAACCGACACCCCATTTTACAAAGACATGCCCTTCTTATTTTTTTTACTAACCTTTCATAACAACAAAGCAGCAAGATTTTCTTTGAAAAATGGACCTGTACAGATCAGTGATCTGGAATAACCAACAAATCAGGTGGCATTCCTTCTTTCTCTCTATCTGGAGATTTTGTGTCCAATTTGTAATGCCCAATCCTTAGCCTCGATACTTGTCTAGGTTGATTATAATAATCATAAAGACGCATTACAAGTTAAGCAATGAGCTTTTCTCAAAAATAGACCGGGGGAGACAATATACTTACTCTCTATATGGAGTCAAGGAATGATACTCAGTAAGACCTATTCTGAGTCTCAGGTTCCATTCTGGGTTTATGAATATATTAAGTGTTAGATCCCTTTTCTACTCACTAATACTCTCACAGTATGATATTGATGGAAAAGCAAGCATAGTCCATGGCCATGTTGGAACTGAGTCATTCTTCAAATAAATTTGAAATCTTCTGTGAAAAACTTAATTACATCAATCTGTAGACATATTTAAGATTATTTTGCCCTGATAATGACTGTAAAATAGGTCAAAAACTTAGCAGTAACAACTGAATTTGATTTTTGAAGACCATACCATAATCCAGAGTATTCATTATAAATATAAATATGTTGATCCATATATGTATTTAGAGTTCATAATTGACGGTATTAATTATTTTAAATGATTATATTTTTAATCTAAGGACTTGGTTTAGATGAAAAAGTTAGTGTCACGAGCAGGATTCGAACCTAGAAACTTTGGCTTTGAAAATATGGCAAAAAGAGGGAAGAATTGGTGTCCGGGTGGATCAAAGTCACAACAGCTCAAGTGGCTAAAGCAATGGCGTATTGAGCCAAAGGTCGTGGGTTTAAATCCCACTGGTGACACTTGCTTTTTCATCTCAACCAATGCTTTAGATTAAAAGTTTTTAAAAAAAATTAAAGTAACATTTATATTGCAATTTTATTATTGCAATGCTTGCTTTTAATAACCACCCATGCAACAAACAGCAATTCATTATGTGATTATGAAGATGATGTGTACCTGTGCCCAATGTGTAAGGCCTATTCTTAACCCTAATACTTCTCTAGGCTTATTTTAATATTTAATAATCACGAAACCACTATACAAACTAAGCAACAAGCTTTTCTTACAAAATAGACCGGGGGACTAGAAATTGTGCTGCTCAAGAATATCTGAATCATACTGCCCTTAGGATTGGGATAGGGATGAAAGAGGCAGCCATTTATTTTTTTTTTTTTTTTAATTTTTATTATTAATAACTCATTGGCCAGCTTCAGGTTGTAAATCAGCCTAGTGCTTTGCCAGTAATTCCTCAGTGTAGGATCTTGCTTGCAGTTTTCCTTGTCCTAGTTGTAAGAACGCTGTGATCGCATGTACCTGAAAACAAAAGGTGGTTTACTAGTTTTTTAGACTTTTACGAGATGCTGAGCACCAAAAAACTTAATGTACTTCGGTGCCCACGACACCATGTTTCTTTTTATTTCCCCATTAAGGTTTAAGCCCTGAAGATGACAGTATAAAAACTGTCGAAAGCTCGGCGAAAACTGAAAGAAAGTTTTTTTTCTTTGTTGACCTCTTCCATAGATCCTCTGAAAAACTTCATGTTTCCAGCAGGTCGATAACCCAGCTCATCGTTACATCTTCACAGAAACATAAAATATTTCCTCTTCCTGGCAGTATCTACACAATGTTTCTTCTGTCTGTCCTCTTGTCCAGTCGTTTCTTAAGTGGCAATGCCCTGTCAGGAGTCCAACCAGAATCTTGGTTTGGTTGCAGTTGCCTTTCAGTAATTCTTTTGTAAGTTTTGCGGATGGCCCTTCTATGAATCTCTTCGCGTACCTCATACCTGTGTTATTGTTCTATCTGGTTTTGAACTCATTAAGGATCAACACTTAGGGGACACAATTAAAGGACTAGGACTCTCTTGTCCTACACTAAGGTGGCATAAACGATCTCTGAGTGTTAAAATGACTTCTGCTTGTGATTACAAGTATTATTCAATTGATTAGAAGTGTTTCTGAGAATTTATGAACTTCTCCCCCCATTTCAGATTTTTCCCCAATATGTATTCATTTCATTTCAGGTTAAGTTGAATTTTTTTTGTAGTTAACATGGCTCCATTTCGCTCTGAGGTCTCACCCATGGTGTTTGAACCCAGAACTGCTGGCATGCCGATAGAATTTATTTGCGAGATTTCTTCTTGAGGTTGGGGTGATGACCTGTAGTTCGGTCTTTTCCAGTTACTTTGATCTACTTACCTTTGTTTGCCAGACTTGTTTTAACCTTTTACCATCATCAGTGGAGGGTTGTAATTTTTTGTTCAGCTTGGGTCTATTTTGCATTTTATTACATAACTTAGGTTGATGTTATCTTTAAAAAGGTTCCTTTGTACAGCAGGTTTACTCATCTTTGGCCCAAAAGTACACTGCTCTTGTCAAAAGATCAGACCTGTTAAAGTTCTCTTATCCTGCACTCGTTTTCAGTGTGGTTTCACTATCACTTTGATTTCAGCTGGAGAAAGGCCCTCATGCTAGTTCGTATCACACTTTAAACCTATTTGCCTACGGAACGTACAGGGAATATTTAGAAAGTAAGGCGAAATTCCTTGATTTAACACCGGTCGAGAAAAAAAAGCTCCAGCACCTCACGATTGTCACACTCGCCACTAAATTGAAAGTAAGACGAGATAATTTTACTATTTAAGATTTTACTTCTGATCTTTTTAATTAAAATTTTCATTTTGTTCTCAAAGTGCATTCCGTATAAATTACTTCTGACTGAGTTGGACATTAAGAATGTTAGGGATTTAGAGGATCTTATAATCGAAGCAATTTATGCAGGTGAGTATATTTTGCATTAAAACATTTCATCCCACTGAAACCCATTTTTTCAGACATAATTCATGGGAAACTGGACCAAAAAAATAGTCAGCTGGAAGTCGACTATGCGATAGGACGGGATACGAGGGAAGCAGATCTCGGCACGATAATTAAAACGTTGCAGGAATGGTGCGATTCTTGTGAAGCTGTTTTGTCCTCTGTTGAAACGCAAATGAACCGAGCCAACGCACAGAAAAACAGGGCGATCAAACATAGAGACGCCATTGAAACTGAGGTATTTACGTTTTTAATATTTGCTTTTAATTTTTACTCTGAATAACTTAAGTTTTGACTAATTTCTTTATTTATAAAAAAAGTAAAATAGAAAAGAAACAAATTAACTTATTAACAATATTCCTTTTTATGGAACTTTTTAGCTTGGCATTGCACCCAAGGACATAATATGTCATAAATAATCTAAATACACTTAAAGAAATTGTTTTAATATATTTGTACTTTATATTTATACTATCTATTATGTTGTAACATAAGTCTAGCATTGTTCCACAATTCAGTTTTGTCTATTTATTCAGTGATTATTGTTTACTCACTATGAAAAGATTAGGTCAGTTTCATGTAATGATTATTTTATTACTACAAAGGAAAAACTGCAGATCAGACCGTTAGAAAAAATTGTGATATACAGTTGACTGTTGATAATTCAAAACCCAAGGGACCATAAAATAATTCAAAATCAAGAAGTTCGCATTATCAAGAGGAAAGAAAAAATATAAAGAGTTGATAAGCATTTTTAAAGGTTCTTACTCAAATTGTACATATATAAAACATCATAAAAATAATAAACAAATGGGAATAGATCAACTGTAGAAGTGAACATTGTTATGCACTATAAAAAAATTCAATTTTTCAATGTGGCCTTGCATCCTTTGTTTAAACGATTTTCCAAAATGACCAGTTTTCAGAACAGGTTGACAAAACATGAAATTCCATATATAACAAACTAGAAAAATATCAAAGAAACTTTAGGTAACAAGGGAGTAAGAAATACGTGGAAATTTAGTGGAAAATTACAATGAAAAAGTTCGAATTATAAAAAAATGTAGTGGCTCCATTTCGATTTATATAATGCTCTCTCTTCCCCTGTAACAAAAAATATTTCGTATTAATGAGTATCAAAATACACAGAATTTTTTCGATTTACCAAAGTGACCTGTTGAGGAGTTAGTATTACCAAGAAATTCAAATTATCAAGTTTTGAATTAACAAGAGCTGACTGTTAGAAGATATCACCGTCCATAGTAGTTTGCTTGGTTCAGAAGTGGTAATTTTAATTCGGAAGATGTCTCTGCTGGTCCTTAAATCATTGATTGACCTAATTCAATCTTTTGTCATAAATAACCTGCACTTGACAACATTGAAGAGATATTTATCTCATACAAGTATGTCAACAGATAGCAGCTGGATATATTTGTCAGAGCTATTAGGTTCTTCACATATCGACCAAGAAGAATTCTTGTACCACATCTCCACCTGCGATTCCCTCTTAAAATATCCATTTTTTTTTTTAAATTGATAACTGGGGAGGAAAAGTAGGTTCTTTTTACAAAAGTTCAGAAAGGAAAACCTTAGAGAAAACGCAGTGAACCACAGTTATCAATCCCAAAAGCTGGATTTTATTCCAAGGAAGTAATATATATTTGGTACGATAGGAAAATTGTGTGTCAGCTTCTTCTGACCGACCAAACTTAATTCTAGTGTACATTTCACACAATTGGATCGGTCAACATCAGAAATTTACCAATGACTTGACTGTCTGCAAGGGGGGTCGCTTTTCACCAGGGTAATGCTTGCCCCATGTGTCTTTGCAGATTTGATCAATTATCGGAGCTCGGCTGCGATGTGCTACTCCACGTACAGTTTTCACTTGACATTTCCTCTTCAGATTTTCTCTGAAAAACTAATAATTGGAAAAACTGACTTCTCTTGAGTATTGCAGAAAACATACCGCAAAGAGTTATCATTCAAAAGTTGAGAAGTTCTGGGAAAATGAAATTACAAAATTAAATGGAAGTTGACAACTACTAGTGGAACATAAGGGGACCGCGGTAGCTGAGTGATTGGTGTGGTAGAATCTCGGCTCGTAGACCCCACAAGGTCCTGGGTTTGAAAGGCGCAAATAAAAAGTAGTGTAACATGTCCTACATTTTTTATTAAATTAGTTTACAACAACCTGATTGTAATTGAATTTACTATCAAAAACACTGCAAACTTATTTTACGACCCATTTACTTTCACATTTGCATATTAAATTAATTTTTCCAGTATTCATGAGCTTATGAAAAAATATTCCTAACTTTTCCTTGCAAATTTTCTTATGGTTGTAAAACATTGTCGTTTTATGTAGAAATTCAACCTGTACATATTCAACGAGGTTTTATGATATTACTTCTTCTGTTTATTACATAATTTGTCAATTTTTATTAATGTCTTCCTACTAGCATTTGGCCCTAATTGTCTATTCCTATCAGATTCTGATAATAAACGCCAAAAGTTTTATTTTAAACTAATTTTGGATTCTTTTAGATTAAAAGTTGAAGTTTTTAAGTCTATATTAGTTAATTCAATAACAATAAATTATTTGAATGTTTATTTTGTCTCACATTTTTGTCACTATCACATATACTTTTTTTTAACATATACCCACAAACTTCTTACTTGAGATATTAACAAATTAATGTAAAAAGGTGAAGTGGTGTGCATATTTTTGAAAAAATCATTAATGAGGTTAATTTTAAATTGTAGATAACGAACATTAAGAAGACGCTCAAAACACAGTCCCAAGACGTTGACGAGGCAATGGCGACCGACTCGAGGGAAGCTACCGCTCAGGGAGACAAGATAAAGAGGTCAATGAAGTCAAAAGTGCTTAGAGGTAGCTCAAAGTTTTGGCAGAAGTGATATGACCTTGTCAAATACAAACACTCTTCGTGAAACCCCTTCATATTAACGCATATAATTTCTTAATAGGAACTCTTATTGATTTTATTTTTTTCCCCCATTTCTTCTTTTACAGTCTTTTTTTTCAGTTCCTGTTGAGAAATTTCCGTTTAATTTTCTTTAGTTAATAACCATGATTATTTTATTAATGTTTTTGTTAATTTTTGCCTGACGTTTGTTGTTCCGATTTTTTTTAACATCAAGTTAATTTGCGACTGAAACTTGAAAACAAAACAACATAAAACTGACTACGACTGAGTGTTTCTGTAAGTGACTTGTGCATGTGAAGTGCTTCTTTTATTTGTGACTTGAGGTGCACCAAGGGATTGCATTTTATATAAGCAAATTACAGGAGAGAGGAATGATATATTATTGTGTGTTTTGTTAAAGAATGTTAATCTTTTTTTCTCTATTAGTTTCTGTTCAATATTTTTTAAAGGTGACGAGTGCAGTCATTGTTTACATCCTATAAGCGAGGGAGAAAATGAGGACTTTTTGGAATCGTTTTATAGTGATTAATCGGATGAGCTTGACCATTTTTCTTGGAATAAGCTCGACCCGAATATAATATGAAAACGAAAAAGAGAAAATATTTTGCAAAATTTTTGATAAATCGAGGCCTAATTTTTTTCCAGAAGAAAAAAATTTCGATTTTTATAGAAGACACTTACAATGTAGCTTCTTTTTCTTATATATAAAAAGAATGTAAATAAAAATTTAATGAACTTAATTAATATTTAAAGAAAAAATAAAAATAAAACAAAATCAGAATGCTATTTCTTGTAGATTTTTAAAATTAATTTGATTTTTTTTTGGAAAAACACAAATATTATGAAAGAAGAGATTTTTAAAAAGAAAATAAAATAAACAGGAATTATCTCTTAATGTGATAGCTCAGATCAAACCTAGTCAAAAACTTTAAGAGGATGGAACAATGATAATAAAAAGATCTATTCATGTTGTAAATTATTTGTATAAAATTGTAAATTATACTGTTAAAAAAATTAATATTTGAAATGATGGATTTTTCTAGAATACCTTTTTTCACATCCTTTCCCGTTTGATTGGTTGTTTTTCTAGTTTAGAAAAGGAAGGTGTGTTTACGCAAAAGCTGTCTTGCATCCATTTTTCTGTTCTCTTACAAAAGAAAATCAATTTATGAATGCATAGCATTTTTTTACTTAAAAAAACTTTTGGCTGTGTTTTTATTGAAGCTGTTTGCTTTAAAATATTTTTACTTAAAGAAAGAATACTGGAATCATTTGATAAATAAAAACCAAAAGAAAATATAAACACTATAATTTTAAAAAATTCATATCCTCAACAGTCATTCATTTACAAATATAACAATAGCATTTATTAACAATATATTTTCATTTCAGCTTATAACATTTACATGAATAATAATGCAATAATTTAAATTTTTATTACTAAAAGCATTATAAAATAGGCACAAGTAATAAATCAATGCCAGCCGAGTGCGACATGAACAATTAAGAGATAAGCAGATGTCACCAGCACGCTTCCGACCATTACTGGAAATCCAATCCTGAAATCATCAGATGTAAAGGAAATGAGGTTTTTTGTGGGAAAGACAAATTTATAATTGTTGCTGATAGTTTAAAGGAAGAAAGTTTAAGAAATAAACAGAATAAATTTTCTGACATTTATTGCTCGTCACATGTTGAGCTAGCGCTGGGTTTCTCAATATTTCCTTTTCTTTCTTTCTTTCTCTCTTTCTCCCTCTCCCTTTTTCTTTCACTCTTTCTCTCCCACATTTCCACGTACAAACTTAGGTTTTTTGGGAGGGGTCACTTGTTAGATCTGTTTAGGTTAGGTTTTTTTTATGTTACTAAAACGCATTTCAGACTTGAAGATGACGCAAAGTCTGTTGTTTGAGTAACATCAAAAAACCTCTGGTAGTTTGGACCTAGTGCCGGTTCAACGTGCTGTGCTCACTGACTTGCCAAGATCAAGTTATCTTTGACATAAAAAAATTTTTTTTTTCCCAAATAAAATATGATACAAATTTAATAATCGGAAGAAAGAATCAGATTGCCAATAAATAATGAATATATTATTTTTAATTAAGTCATATTGTAAAGTATTTTTTTAAATTTCAGAAATCATTCAGCCAGAATATTGATCTTTTAATGGACGTGCATTTTTTGAAATGGTCTGGCCGAGGTCGAAGTAAAAAATAAGACTTGTTTTTATAGAGGATTCTACATTTAGTTTTGTTAAATTTAAAATAAAATTTTCAGTTCTGGCAGAATTTAAATAAATGTTTTTTCAAGATAATTTATATTTGTTTGTTTTATACATATTTTTTACTTGTAATTTTACTTCTGACAGGTCTTATTTCATTGGATGTTACCGAATCCTTTAAAAAAAAAAAAAGTTTAAAATAATATTGTTAGGATTATTTCATACAAAAATGGAGAGGAAAATATATTTTTCCCGAGTATTATCTTTTCAAACATCAATTGTTTGAATTATTTTCTTTGTGCGATTTCATTTGATAAATAAAATCCCTTTTGATCCTTTTTAAAATATGTTTTTTCAAATTACTCACTTGAGGAACTGCATGAATGAAAACCTATAACCATGCTGTTCTGCTACGCCTGCACAGACCACATTTGAAGAAGCGCCAATTAATGTCCCATTGCCTAAAACAAAAAAAAAAGAATTGTTATAAATTTTTCATAGTACATATATATGACAAGGTGTGAAATTTTGTTCTCAGGAAAATTTGTCGCACCCTCTTGAAGCCAATCATCGAAAGGAAGGACTACGGAATAATCAGCCCTCTCTAAGTGTCAGAAAAATGTACATATATGTATTTTTTATGCTCTTGCTTTAAAAAAATAAATAAAGGAAGACAAATTTTCCCGACTATGTTTTATACATTATAATGTGAATGTGTAAAGTATTAAAAAGCTTAGTTGATACGTTTTTGTTTTTTAATTCACCTCCTAAACAAGCTCCGAGGGCCAGTGACCAGACAAGTGGCTGGAGGGGAAGGTCGAGCTGGTCGTTTTGGCTCAAAGACGTGATGATTCTCACCATCATGGTAGTCAGTGGTATATTGTCGACGAACGACGATGCCAAAGCGGATACCCAAAGTATGAGGAGTATGGCGACCGTGAGCTGCCACGGTTTGTCGACACTCTGTATCAGACTCTCCGTACGCCTTCCGATCCAGTCTATCAATCCGAGTCTTGACAATGCCTTGGAAAAAAAAAAAAAAAAAATTCAGTTTAAACTCTGGTTTATATGAGTGAATCTCTGCCTGACCTCCATCAGTATAAAAAGCGCAGTGAAAAAGATGAGCGTCGTCCATTCGACCCTTGCAAATATGCTCTCAAGATCGGCACGATCCGCCAAGATTAGAAGTAGTATAACTCCGAGCAGCGCAGTCCATCCCAGTGAAAGATTGATCCATGGTGTCGAATGGAAGAAAAACAAAAAGGCCAGGAAGATAAACGTGATGATACATTTTATTAGAAGGATCGGGTTTCTCACTGGAAACTGAAAAGAACAATTTAAAAATATTAACTCTTAGTGCCTTAGCGACAATACGAATTTACCTTTTCTCTCAACACTTCCAAGTTTTGCGTGTAGTTTTCATAAATATTACTAGAAGAAAACAGATATATTAAATTTAAAAAATATATATATAAATATAAATTTAATATTAATTACCTGTCTCTTAGGAGAACTTTCTTTTTCAGATCAGAAAGAAGCCTTCTCACTTTTTTCAGGAGTGTCTCTTTGACGAGATCCTCATCTTTTGAATACAATGAAAGAGATCCAGCTGCCCTTTGCCAAATTTCAATCTCATGCCTTAATTCTTAAACAGAATTATTTATTTAAAAAATATGTATACAATTTAAAAATTAAACAATATTTTTAATACCTTGAACTTCATGTGGTTCTTTAAATTTCAAGTCTTTCATATTTCTGTACATGAAACGCAATTGGAAGTGAACAACCACCATCACAAATATAAGTCCTACGCCCATGTGAAGTGTAAAAACTCCGAAAGTAACACCCTGAATATAAATTTAAATAAATTGTTTGATCAAATAATCAATAAATATTCGCAAAAGACTCACAGCATCGATGACATCTTTATTGCTAGCGATAATCACATTCGGTGGATCCCCTACAGGCGTAATAGCTCCGCCGATGTTCGAGTATATTACCATGGACATTAATATCGGCACTGGGTTTAATTCCATGACTTCACACAACCTAAAAATATATTGGGAATATATATTGGGGGGTTGAAATGGGAAGTTTGTGTCCCAGTGGATCGAGGTCACGATAGCTCAAGTGGTAGAGCAGCGGCGAATCAAGCCGAAGATCGTGGGTTCGAATCCCGCCATTGACTTTTTTGTCTCAACTAAAAACCTTGATTAATTGTAATATATTAATTGGTCAAGCGGACCACGAAATTAGTGAATTTAATGAACCTAAAAATATAGTTGATAAATTAAAAAAATTAAATATTAGCACCGATTGGTTACCTTATTGTTATAGGTGTCATGAGTAGGACTGTAGTTACATTGTCCAAACAGGAAGAAAGTAATGCGGTAAAAATGCATAGTGTGTTGATCAAAACCCATACTCTTCCATTAGCTATCTGTTTTGCATTAAAATTTAAAATAATAAATAAGACAAATATATAAAATAAGTAATTACCTTATAAGCAAAAACAGCTAGGTAATCAAATAAGCCTGTCTCTGATAATATTGCAACAAGGACCATCATAGAAAATAATAGTAGAAGAGTTTCCATATCAATCCATGTTATAAGCTCGGATTTGGATGGTCTCTGGTAAAAATGTTTGGGTAATTTGATAACAATTCATAAATAATAAATAGACATATTCTGCTATAAAATTATCTGTTTGGTACCTAACTTCTAAATTAAAAGAATAAATATGTCAATTATTATACTTTAGTTTCTATAAAAATTTATAACTGTGGAACTTTAAACAAAATTAAAACGATCAAAAGGAATTTTTTAAATGAAATCACCTCATCAAAAGCCGCGAGAGCTGCTATGGACATTGTTGAAGCCATGACTGCAGCCAACGTTCTGTGTACAATCTGAAAACAGCATTAATTATTGTTCTCAAAAAGGCAAATAAAAGGTTTAACCTACTTCAAAAATAATTAGGATGTAAAGTCCAACGAGGATAGCCACTGCGTACAGAATGCCATCGCCCGGATCAATCGGGGATAGGTCGTATGAGAGTGACATGGGAAAAACTTTCTTCAAGTTTGTCCTGATTTGTAGCCTCATGATGCAATCAGGGATCAACCTGTTGAATTTCTCTTATAAGTTTTTTTAAAATATATTTTTTTTAATCAACAATTTTTTTTTATAATAACTTTTCTTTGACGTCCTTCAGGTTGAATATAAAAGACCTCTTGACCTCGGGGACAAAATCGATCAGGGTTTCTGACACAATGGGAATTTTCCAGATCTCACTGATCTTCTGCAAGACAGATTTAATTTTTAATTTGTACAACGCTAATATTCAATTCCTCATGCATACTTCGCTGTAGGTGACATGTTTCTCAGAAAGGGTAGAGTTGGTTCGAACCATTTCCACCCAGATTGAAGCCCAATGTCTTGACAAGTTACCGTAATAAGTTGGCAGAAGGGAACCACCTATCTCAACAGACAACCTCTTCATTTTTGGCATTTCAAGTATCCAGAAACCTTATTCTAGTTAAAGAAGAATCAATTTTTAAAAATGTCTAAATTAGTACAAATAAAAATGTTTAGTTGTGTTAAAGATTTTTAAATTTAAGGATACTTCTTCCTACGTCTCTAGGTACTGAAATTTGATGAACTGTGTTTGCTCCATGTTCACTTTTTATTATTAAAATTGCCTAAAAAAATAAATTTTGTAAATTAAAAAAAAGAAAAGAAGATAATTAAAAGTAATAGGTAAAAATCAACCGTAAATATTCCCCAAATCATTATCAATGCTGCAATTTTCAAGATATAATTATACCCTTGGTATCTGTCTTCTGTGAAATCTTTGTCCTCATCACCATCTTTAAATTCTGGTGGAGTTGGATCACTGCTAAACAAACAGATGGTTGTTCAGAACAACTATTTTGTTTTATAAAAATCCCAGAACCTTAATAAAATTCAATAAAGAATTAAAGTATGGTATCTGGTATATGCATGTAATTTAATGCTGGTGAGAGAACTTAACAACTTTAAAAAATTGAACTTCCAATCTTGAAGTTAACAACTTTAATTTTCTAAGCAAAAAATTATACTATTACTATACCATATAGCTACTTACTTTTCACTCGAACTAAGAGTTGTCTCACCATCTGTTGATACCCATGTAACATGGTTTCCTGGACTAAGGCAGCTCCTTTTCACGCCAGGGGATGCCATCCAAGAATCATCCTCAAAGGATCTTTTTCTAGAACTAAATCAGTGAGTCAGATTTACAGTATGTTGTATTAAAAGTTTGTATCATTTACTAGAATCTTCTTGGAATATTGTCGGTCTCAAGATCCCTTTTGACTTCTTCAGGCAACTCTTTCCAAATCTGTTCGGAATCGAATTTTTCATTCACCCTTAAAATAAATAAAAAAATTTTAATCTCTATTTTGGAATTATGTTATTAATTAAAAAGCTAGTTTTAATCAAAATCAAGTACATTTTTTAACTTACAATGCAGAACAATTGGCTTCTTTATCATCTGATGGTCCACAGTCAGGCTTTTTTTCTCCTTTTTCCATAGCTATAGTTTAAAATTTACAGTAAACTCTGCAGTATTTAAAAAAACATTCTACTACAAGGACCTTCCTCAAAAGTTAATTCTCCTACTGGCTTTTTTCTGTCCAAACATGAATCTCCGAATTGTACTTTGCCTCTTAATAGGTAAAACTATTCATGTTGTTTCTTTTTATTTTAAACACTTTATTTTCATGATAAAGTAAACAAGAGTTGTTAATATTTCTCATAGGCCCAATATTTTAGGAAATATTAAAGTTTTGAAAAATTGAATCTTATATCTTATTTTAATTAAAATCAATGTTGATTTAAATTTATTATTTGGCTTAAAATTGTTATAGTTGTTATGTCATTAGCTCTGATAATGGACAAATTATAAAATTAAAAATCAATTACTTAAATTATTTTAAGAAATTTTTAATTAAAAGAATGGGCAAAGCTAAACGGATTTTTTCACAAATAAATTGTTAGATTCTTTGACAAATTTTAGCTTTTTATACATTATTGAAACATAGCAGAACATTAAAAGATTAAATACATAGCTGAAAAGATGGTGTTACTTATAAACGGATTTTGCAGCTATAATCGCTCATCATAAGACTATGCAAATTACCTGGATAACTTACATACATAACTTTCAAGTTACACTTATAATTTAAACTTATAACTTTGAAATAATCTAGTTAACTCACATTTATAACTCTAAAGTTATCTGAATAACTTACATATTATAATGTGTGATGATGAGTGACTGTTAATCGATAATTATTCAGAAATCGTGAGATGCGGTCTGGTGGGATGTAGGTTTCAGAAAAACATTTTCTTTATCGTGCCAACGTTCCACTCAACATGACACGCAAAAATGGCACAATTACATAGAAGACAAAACACTGAGCCCTGAAGATGATCTCAATAAAGATCGAAACATTGGCATGATAAAGAAAATGTTTTTCTGAAACCTACATCACACCAGACCGCATTTCAAAATTTCTGAATAATTACATATCATATATGACTTCCAAATTATCTGGATAACTTAAACATAAACTCTCATATTATCTAGATATCTTACGTTTATAACTCTCAAGTTATCTAAATAACATACATATAAACTCTCAGGTTATCTAGATAACTTACATTTATAACTCACAATTTTTCTAGATAACTTGCATATAAACTCTCAAGTTATCTGGATAATTTAGATATATATCTCATTTTTCTAAATTATCCTATCCCACCAACTATCAAACACACCAGCCTACCGAGGCCGATGAACAACGCCAACTCCCTTCTCATTTCCATTGGCATTTTCAACTGTTCCAGTCCTATCCTGCCTTAAATTGCAAATTAATTTAATTAAGCTAAATAATTTTAATGTATAATATTATATTTTCTCTCAATTTTTTCCTTAGTGGTTACAGCACCGGTGTATTACGCTGAAGGTGACATTAATATTTCTTTTCAACTGTCTTTGCCTAAAAATTAGAAATAATAATAATAAACAAAAACTAATTATATAATTATTATTTTTAATAGTTATGTGTTATAGGTGGTGTTATTAATAATGGAAATTTTTAATACTAATTTGTCTTAAACTATTTAGTTTAAAATTGTTTAAAAACAATTCCATGTGTTTGTTTAAAAATAAATTCATTATTTATTTAAATATTTAGTTGGACTTTTTGGGAATTTACACCCATCATCAGCATCTTTTAAAAAAAGTAAAAAGTGTAAATTCCTGAAAAGACCAAATAAATGTTTAAATAACCTACACTAAATTGTTCTTTTAAATAAAAAGCAAAAAATATTTACACAGTTTTTTTTTGTTGTTCTTTGTTTTATTATTTTATTTTTGTTCTTTAAACATTTTCATTTCTGAAAACACTCCTGTCTAAACTGTGAACATTTCAATTTCATTATGTAACTGGGTATTTCTCCAAATCTGTAGGAAAATGCTTGAGACAAAAATCATGGGAAAAAGGGTGAAATTGTGTTGGGTGAAAGGGCATGCAGGCTTATGGCAAAATGAAACGGTGGATGCACTTGCAAAGGAGGCTGCAACATCAGGTCCAACCCTTGACATTAAAATTCCTAAAGAAGACGGGAAAAACTTTTTGGAAAAGTTTTGTAGAAATCTGTGCCAAGAAAAATACAATGCATCAAATGTTGGCAATTATTACAGGTCACTGTTCCCTGAGCTCAAGAAAAAAACTATGGTTTTCGGAAGGCGATAGCCCAGAAGGAATATCAAAGGAGTTCTATTCTACTATTTTTAGACTGAAGACAAATCATGGCCTATGGGCTAGCTACAAGAAGAGAATCGGTTTGGCATAATCTCTGAACTGTCCCACTTGCGATTTCCCTTCAAATGCTTCCCACATAATTTTTGAACGTCCAGAATACGAAAATGAAAAAGATAAACTGCTAAAAAATCTGAGCAAAGTCCCAAACATTTCCAAACCAATAAATTTAGAATCTGTCCTAATAAGCAACAAACAATCCATCAGCTTTCAACATAATCTATGGATTTCTAAAGTCGATAAACGTTTCTTTTTGATTATCTTCAACCATGAAAATTTATAAGATGAGAAGATGATGGAGCTGAATGATCGATCGAAAAAAAAAATAATAATAATAAAATTTGTATGTAATGCGGTTGAGCTGAAAAATTAGTGTCACAAGTGGACTCAAACCCACGACCTCTCGCTCTATACCCTGGGAGTCGTGGGTTCACGACTAATTTTTCATTTCAACCACCATTTACATAAAAATTAAAACTGAATTTAAATAATTACTTCGGTTAACTATGACCAACCAAAACATACGGATTAATAATTAATAAACTTTAATTATTTGTTATAACCACATAACTCAGTAAATATTTGTTATGTTGTAAATATTTGTTTTAACCACATAAATTAATTAATGGTTTAAACGAGTTTTTTTCGTATTAATTTATTAAATTAAATCGTATAATAAAACAAATATAAGTTGAGTTATATTTTGAGTGTTGAACTAAATTTCAAATGGAGGGGCAATGGTAGGAGCACCCCACGTGGTCTTCTGGACAACTTGCCCACTGGAAGGATATTTTTCAATGAAAATCTGTAAACATGTACACACGTTTACAGAAATTGATCTCTCCTGCGGTTCTGTGTATGTATTTGCCTTTTATTACGTGCCGGTTTTTATTGTTAATGATTGTAATTATCTTTAGGTGGGCAGAGGAGGCTGATATATCTCTCTCCAATAACACAAAGTATAGACAACGTCGACTGGAGATTGAAGTAAACTGCTTTACATTTATTGATAAGCTTTAAGAGTTTATTATTAATTATTGACCAATTGGTATACTATTCTTGGCTGATGTAATGGTTCTTATTATTATTATGTGAGCACCTCAACTGAAGCGCTTACAATTTGGAATAGAGAAATTATTTTAATTGGTACAGTTTCTATGCAGTCAAAGAGAAAAGCAATATTGCTGAATTTATAAAATATTCTGTGTACACTATCTGATGATATACCACCGTCTGTTTTTGGCAGTAGTCATTCCTGTAGCTTGATCGTATCGGATCATTCTTGTCTATTTGTCATTTACACAAAAAGCCGAATTCCTATGCGCAAAGGGTACAAATTTACAGACACTGGCTTAAATAAGCTGGCAGAGGTAGACAGTTTGGAAATATCCGAAACTTTGAACATTTTTTGCATGACGCTTTAAAATTTTTTCTTAAAATAAAATCATATTATTTTGTAATATCCTGGTCAAGATTTTAACACTTCGATGTTGTATTTGGCAGTAAAAAACATTAATTTGATGTTTGTTAATTTTATTTTACATAACAATAAAAACAAAAAAAAAGCTGAAGGAAGGATTGTACTGACATTTTACTATGTGTGGTGATTAGTGACAGTTAGTCGATGATTATTCGGAAATTGTGAGATGCGGTCTGGTGTGATGAAAGTTTCAGAAAAACATTTTCTTTTTCATGCCAACGCTTCGATCTTTATTGAGATCACCTTCAGAGCCTAGGATTTACAAACATTGTTTAAATTTAACAAATACATGTAGGATGTAGAAAAAAAAATGAATTTATACAATGTAAAAAAATATATTTTTTACATTCAATCAAAGTATTTCTACTCACTCAAAGTGTTTGTTTTCTGTGTTTCAAACACTTGAGTGAGTAGAAATACTTTGATTGAATATAAAAAATATTTTGTGCATTGTATAAATTCACTTTTCCACATCCTAAATGTATTTGTAAAATTTAAACAATGTTTGTAAATCCCAGGCCCTGAAGATGATCTCAATAAAGATCAAAACGTTGGCATGATAAAGAAAATGATTTTCTGAAACCTACATCTCACGATTTTCGAATAATAATTTTACTATACTCAGAATAATGAAGAATGAACAAGTCACAAAAATAAAAAGGTTTAAAGAAAATGATACTTTTTTTAAAATTAATTTTTTTAAGAGGTTCATAATGACAGAAATCATATCACCCCTCAGGGTGCTGGTGTTTTCAAAAAGCCCATTTGTAAGTATGTTGCCTGGGACCCTTACAGTGATGTGTCACTGTGTCAATGGGTTAACTGTTGTGGCCAATGACACTCCCTAATATTTCTTTAATTTAGTCATTACTGATCATTATGTGCAGAGACATATTGAAACGTCTGTCAGACCAACCCGGCTAGTATAGGCAGACAAAATAGTGGTAATGCACAATTATAAGTCACTACAGGGAGAAAGATCACAATTTAACACTTTTTTGTCAGCAAGGGCCAAATATTTGTGGAATTGGCTGGCTATGTTCTAGTGACCCGGGATCCAGGATATCTTCCCCAAGGGGTCTTATGCGGGAAGAGGATTCTAAGTCAATAAAATGCTTGTTTAAAGGAGCTGTGCCCCTGGAAACAGATTTATTGGCTTAGTGTAGTCTTCAGGGAGGGGGATTGGTTCGTTGATGTTGTGTTGATTTTATGTAGCGATGAGTTGGTTCGTTAATGTTGGGTGTTGATTTTATATAGCAGTGAGTTGGTTTGTTGATGTTGTATGTTGATTTTATGTAGCGATGATTTGGTTCGTTAATGTTGGGTGTTGATTTTATATAGTGATGAGTTGCTGAGACATTCTGATTTGCAGGGAGGTCTGTTAACTTGTACTTGTGACCTCTCAGTGGTACTTCAGCCGAGAACACACCCGATGCAACGCTATGTGATGTTACCCGACACCTTGCCACATTTTGGTAGGGTGTGCAACGTCAAGCGCACACCATGTACATTCTCACAGCATGCATCACAAATCAGTATCACAGTTGCAACGCCTCTTTTGTTCTTAATGCATTATTTTGAGCAAAGCCGTGCAATAAATTGTTAGTTAAATCTTATGAGCACAACCATGTAATAAATTGTTAGTTAAATTTTATGAGCAAAACCGTGTAATAAAGTATTAGTTAAATTCATTATATCAAAAAATGGTATTCCGTTGTTTTGATCAATTTTCTTCCAAACCATTAAAATTAATTTTTTAAAATAAAAACTGATAAATCTTTGATCTCAGTTAATTGGGTTTATATGAAAATAGTTGTTGTAATTAATATAAGTACAATAATACATGCTGTTTGAATAAAAATATGAGTGTCTGGTTCTTTTGTTTTCGACTGTACTCATTGTTACCCAACGAAAATCTGGACAATGGGGACTGCAGAGCATAAAGTAGGGTAGCATTCATAGCAGATGTGCATGGGGAAAATACAACCTTATGGAAAATTGTACTTTGGATTTGTGTCGGGGAGCGTCGCATGGCGTTGCATCGGTGTCTTCCCAGCTTTAGACTTTTAGGTTCAGCACTTTGCTGTCTGTTAATTCTTATCTCTGACTGTAGCTATGCTACACCTTGGTTGAGCAGGAGGGGCTTGATTAGTGAACTTTGTATTGTGAGTTCTTCAATCTTGAGTTTTGAGCAAATTAGAAAGGGGTGGCTTTGGGTTGCGACTGGATGACGAGGTCTTGGACCATTGGGCCTTAGATGGTGAGCCCTCGGAATTGGTGAGGCAGGGTGAAATAAAAGAATTAAGAAATTGAATACAAAGGTGAAAAATAGAGAAATGTGGAAGAATTCGGAAAAGGACTTGCCTTGGAATGGACCTAATTTACATAAAAACTTGTGTCTGTACAGAAGAATAAAGACAAATATTGTATAATACATACATTTATTAAAAGTAATTTGGTTGTTATCAATAATTTTGGTCTACCTATCCTTACTGGTTTGATCTGTCAGATGCGTTTCAGCATTTTCCATCACTTGGTCGGTAACAACCAAATTTTTGAATTTTTGCTGCATTGTCTTGTTGTTAAGTAAAAATATTTTAAAAAAAATTCCAACCACTGAATATGGTGTATTAGTGTAAAGCTGGGGATTGGCAGACCAGAAGAATAGAGACAACCAAGCAACAATTTATGTCTTTTACAATTGTGTAGGTCCTTGAACTATTAATATTTAACTAGAATTTTTTAAATTTTCCCCTCCCAAGAATATTTACTTTAGCATCAGTAGTCATCCTCACCAAGGGAGGGCTAAACTCACAGTAGTAACAAGACTATATACCGATCACTGGCATCTAAGAAAATCTCTATACAACATAGGTATGTCCAATGATGACCCCATTTGTAGGTTGTGTAAGGAGAAGAAAACAGCCACCCATATCATCTTTGAATGCGAAGCAACGGCTCAGTGGAGACATAACCTGGGATGTAAAGAAAAACCCAGGACACAGAATTGTAGCAGTGACAGTCAGTGACCTTGTACTTCTTAGGAGAAGGATCGAGTCAATTGCACTGAACTAAGGAAATATGAAAATAGAATAAGCCAGAAGGCTGCAGTGCTTTGAGAAAAAAAATCCCCTACTTCCTAGTATTCATCATCATCATCATTAGTCCTGTATAATTGTATAATTAGATATGGTTTCTTTTATTTTTATTTTTTTTTTCACAAAATGAATCAGTTCAATTTTATTTCATTTCTAGGTAAATTCAAACTATTATTTAACAAATTTAGTTTCATAGTTCCTGGATTCCTCATTAGACGATCTAAAGCTGGGTTTCCACCAGGAAATTCACTTGTGCAACGGTTTTGCGAAACTTGTCTCGTGTTGTGAAGTCCTAGCCTGGACTGAAATTTTTGGCGTGATGATATTTTGGGGATGAGCCAACTAGCTGTTGGTTATCTAGTGCCCATCAAAGTGTTTGGCGTTGTTTATTTCTCTCTGTGTAAACGCATTGTCTAGTGTATGAGGATGAACCAGGAGGAATGTATTCAATTTATCTGAATGTATCACAGCTACCAATTTTTGTGGGATGCTAAAGATAAAACTCACAATAAACAAACTAATCAATACTATTTTTCAATTAATTAATATTTATGAAAGGTATTGGTTGAGATAAAAAAAATCAGTATCATGAGCGGGATTCGAACCCACGACCTTCGGCTAAATACACCGCTGCTCTATCACTTGAGCTATTGTGACTTCGATCCGCTCAGAAAACAACTTCCCATCTCAACCTCACCTTTCGAATTTTCCCTCCTTTGTATAATAAAATAAATAAATAAAATAATAAAACTCAACTCAACTTATAAATGGCATGCTTGTCTTGCGCAACTGATCGCTCATTTTGTTTTGCCTCTATGTTGCAAAACATTTCTTCTTGTGGAAATGGTTAACCTGAGAGTGTTTCATGAGTAATTCTTGCATATAGTTGCACGGTGGAAACCCAGCTTAAGAATATTTGGACTCACGAGACAAAAAATTAGTGTGTGGTGATTATAGACCGTTAATCGATAATTATTCAGAAATCGTGAGATGTAAGTTTCAGAAAAACATTTTCTTTATTGTGCCAATGATTTGATCTTTATCAAGATCATCTTCAGGGCTCAATAAAGATCGAAACGTTGGCACGATAAAGAAAATGTTTTTCTGAAACCTACATCATACCAGACCGCATCTCACGATTTCTGAATAATTACAAAAAATTAGCTAATTTTTTAAAAACCAAATTTTTTCTTGTGCGTAACAATTTTTTTATTATTTTTTTTTAATTTATAGGAAAGGTCTCCCAGATAATCCTAACCGAATGGCAATCCTGCGGGATGGCCCTGATTATACCTTCCTCGACGGCAAACCCACGCCTTATGGTACAGGGCAGAAATTAAGAATCATGAAACAGAGGGAGTACACCGTAAGTTTAACTGTCCTACATTAGTGTACACATGCACATTTTTAATTTTGCCTATGGTGTTCAGGCTAAAATTATACAATTGTCTAAAGAAGTAGATTTTGCCCTGGAGAGGTACAGAAATTTGAAGCAAGCCGAGAAAGAGCAAAAAGAGATGATCATCGCCTCAAAACTAAAAGAAAAAGGAAAACAACACTTGAGTTAATCTTGTAAATAAATTTTGTCAGTTTAGTAGTAAAATTTTGTGTATATTTTTCTTTATAATTTTTGTAAATATACAAATAACCCAAATAAATCGACTCTTATTAAGCCAATGCTATCACATTTATATGATTTTTTTCAAACGTTCAACTCCAGATAATGGAGCATCGTTAGGTTATTACAAAATCCACACAATTTTTAAAACATTTTGAATATATTGGAAATAAAAAACTAATAGAGATGAATCCAGGATGGTTAAAATATTAAATATATTTCAGCTCTTCAAGGAATGTATGAACTATTGCTATTTGTAAGACTAGATTATTAAGTGATAATCTGAATTGATCTAAAAACAAGAACTCAAACCATACATCAGATGTTTTTACGAAATAAGCAATCCTGACAATATTCTAGAAGAAGGTGTGGTGTTTAATGACTGTTAATTAATGATTATTTGGAGACAGTGAGAGTCGGTCTGGTGTGACGTAGGTTTTAGAAAAACATTTTCTTTATGGTGCTAATGTTTCAATCTTCATTGAGATCATCTTCAGGGCCTGGGAATATGTTTTTCTAAAACCTACGTCACACCAGACCGCATCTCACGATCTCTGAATTTTCAATTATTGGTGATTTTTGATAAATTATAGTTTTTAAAATAAAATATCTATTTAAACTCTGATGGTTTTGAGCAATATATCAATGATTCAAACACAGTGGTGTATTTATATATAGCAAAAGTATATGTAGTGTATGTATGCGTGTTGTGTGACACGGATGATGAATATGATCTCAATAAAGATCGAAACGTTGGCACAATAAAGAAAATGTTTTTCTAAAACCTAGTCACACGATTTCACGATTTCCAAATAATCATACTAGAAGAACATTGCAGGACACATAAGAGGAAATGGAGAAACTCAAATTTTTGACTGCAGCCCAATGGGCATTTTAAAAGGTTGAAATTAACACTAAGAATATAAACATTTGTATAGCCTAACAGACACATTGTGACTAAGAAAATTCTAAAATACTACTTACTCTTGTACAGTACACTGGCAAGTTCCTCCTATCGTGAAGCTCAGCTTGATAATAAGTATATCATAGGTTTTTGCTTCTTTAGCAAAGCTACAATATTTTGAGTTTATTGATGTTAATCTTTTATGTCCATCTAATCTTGTTTTTTCAAGAAACCTGGCAAAGTTTTCAGTCTCCTCCTATTCCACTGTTCTACTTTTATAGGTCCAGAAATGTTCTCTAGTGTTTGTTTCTTTAGGTTCTTTGCAGAATGTAAAAAATTTTGAGTTTATTGATGGTCTTTTTTTTTAAATTTCCATTGTGTCTGCAAGTTGAGAGACCTAATCAGGATCTGACAATGAATTTCTTGTCTAGTTACAATTGTTGTACTTCTTCTATATTTGCATATTTTTAACTATGGTGGATTGTAGCTCCTTGTTTCTTCTATTTCTTAACCAAATGTACGTATTCTGAGTGCAGATTTCTGTTTGGTGATTTCTTAGCAAGAAACCTGCAAAAGTACTTTGTCTTTCTCAGTTACCACTTTTGTAGTTTGTACCACTAAAAGTACTTTTTTTCTTCTTCAGGCTTTTGCAGAATCTATACACATATTATTTCCTTTTATCTCCTTTCTCTTTCTGCTTTCCTTTCTTAATGTGATTTTATTTGATTATAAATAATTAATACTTTAAAAAATGTGTGGTGGTTAGTGACAACACAATCTCAACAGGACACACAAGAATGACACAATTACGCAGAAACATACTTTGAGCCTTGAAGATGTTCTCAGTAAAGAAAGAAACGTTCACACGATAAAGAAAATGTTTTTCTAAACATACAACACACCAGAACGCATCTCGCGATCTCTAAATAGTCATTCCTTTGTATATTTTTATTTTGTTTTATTATTTTGCTATTATTATTTTACTATAATAAATAAATTTATTTCTAAGATATACATGTAAAGTTTAAACCCTATCTGTAATAAAATAAGTAAATATTCTATTTTGTCTGCAAATCAAAAGACCTAATCAAATTCTGAGTTTCTTGCCCAGTTACAATTGTTGTACTTCTTAAATAATGTATACATAAATATTGTCAACTGTGGCAGATTGAATCTCCTTGGTTCTTCATTTTCAACAGAATCTACTTTTTCTGAGTGCATGATGATGATTTTTTTTTTTTAGATTTCTGCCAGTTTTGGCAAGAAACCTGCAAAAATTTTCTTTTTTCCCCAGTTAACTGTTGTCCTTTAAAAATTCCTTGTTTCTTCAGGTTCTTGGTAAAATTTACATATTCTGTGTTCAACGTTGATACTAATCATTTTTCATTTATATAACAAAGCAGCAAATAGATTGAAGTTTTATCTAAAATGGTTTTATCTAAGCTAAACTTAGGGATAAGTGCTTTAAACTGTAACGTAGTGCTTTATTATTTTATGACTTGATTTAAGAAATGGCTCTCAGTTTTATAACAAAGTTCCATTACTGTTTTACAGCTCAACCCGAATCATAATGCTTAACGTTTTTTTAGGTTACTCCAATTGTTTTTGACCGTGGCCCACCTTTTTTTGATCGTCCAACTGGAGTTAGTACCCTCGTCGAGGACGAAGTTGGGGGTTGAAATTATCAGCTAAATTAGTTGCCTAATTCGCTGGGACGGGAGGGCAGTCGGTTTTGTGGTGGAATGGTCTAATAACAAACTTGGTTGTTTTAATTAGGTGACCCTCAACAGGCTCGGGACGTCGGCTTAATTTGCCGAAAACCACGAGTTATTGTTGTTACAGATTTAACATGAGAAAACCCCACATGCGTGTAGTTTCGTGAATTATCTTTCGGCCCGAATAATTCCTTTTTTAACTGAAAGATTGTTTGTGCAAAATCACAAGTACGTACAGAAGGAAATGGGTAAACTAGCCCGCAAAGTATGGTAAGGAAGATCAGGTCCAATACTGATGTAATTGGGCGACTCTCAACATTGACAAATTTAAGTAAATTTAAAAACACGAGCGTCAAAAATTAAATCAGAAATGTTGCTACTATGGAAGGCCAAATATCCAGAAAAAAATAAGCTTTTGGTAAGTTCTACTTAAAATATTAACAAGATAAGTTATTTAAAAAAGTAAAATTAAAACAACTACAAAAATTCAAGGAAATGTAATTTTCTTAAAATTTAATCGATTACTTCACAGATTCAGGACCAATCACTGAATATGGCGAAACCTGAAACGCTTCAACTGGACAAACCAGTGGGGATAGGAAGACCGAAATGTATTCGATGACTGGAGAATTTAATAAAGTTTTTGCAAAACGGATGAGATATTTTATGTGTTCCTTAAATCATCTCCAGCTGTAATAAAAAAATACCTCATATTATACTATAAATATTGAAAATTTAATGTAGTTTTTAGTTGATTAGTGTATAATTATGTGTAATTTCACTTAGACTTGGAACAAATTTCCTGATTTGATCATGATTCTATGCCTAATTTTAGAATTAAAGTTGAATTTTATGTCTAAATTTACAATTTCATAATGTGATTGAATTTAAATCAGCTATTTTATCGGTCTCTTTATCTATGATATTTTGATATCTGATCTTGAAAGGTAAAAATAATTGGAAACGACCAAACTATAGTTTACCTTGTAGAACCCTAGAGAAATCTCACAGTTTAACATAAATTATGCTTATCCTTTCTGTTTTGAACACTGATTTTTATAACCTTCGATACAAACCCCGAAATGAAAAGACGAAAGCCAAAAATAATTCAGTATAATTATTAGAGAATTTATTTAAATTTACGGAAAACGGATGAGATGTATCATATGCCCTTAGATTTTCTGTCGATGAATAGAAAATGAACTTTAGTATAATTTCTACACGGAAAATATTGTTTATTTCAGGTTTGAAAGGAGAGTAATTTTCAAAAATGTTAGATCTATCGTTTTGTGTCGAAGGATTAAAATGATCGGAGCGTTCTGTAGGGTAGCAGCCAGGGTCGAAACGCAAGTGGCGTAGATCATCTAGTCTCGCATAATTAATTATGTAATACGCAGTACACAAATAGGTGTTTATCATATTACTGTATATTAAAATCTTTAGTTTCACTTATTGTTAGACTTGGAAAAACTTTTCTGATCTGAACAACATTCTGTGTTTATTTTGGGGAATGAAGCTGAATTTTATGTGTAAATGTACAAATTGCATAGTATGAGTGTACTTAGGTCTGCTATTTTTTCATCTAGCCTTTCTGGTTTGAACTCTGATTTGTAAAACCTTCGATACAAAACCCGAATTGAAAAGACAGAAAGCCAAAAATAATTCAATTGACAAGTACTATAATTATTGGAGAATTTATTAAAGTTTAAGGAAAACGGATGAGATGTATCATGTGTTCCATATACAACTTCTGTCGAGTAGAAAATGAACTTTAGTATAATTTCTGCACGGAAAATATTGTTTATTTCAGGTTTGAAAGGAGGGTAATTTTCAAAAATGTTACATCTATCGTTTTGTGTCGAAGGGTTAAAATGATCGGAGCGTTCTGTAGGGTAGCAGCCAGGGTCGAAACGCAAGTGGCGTTGATCATCTAGTCTCGCTTAATTAGTTATATAATACGCAGTACACAAATAGGTGTTTATCATATTACTGTGTATTAAAATCCTTAGTTTCACTTATTTGGAAAAACGTTTCTGATTTGAACAACATTCTGGGTTTTGGGTAATGAAGTTGAATTTTATGTGTAAATGTACAAATTGCATAGTGTGATTGTACTTAGATCTGCTATTTTTTCATGTATCCTTTCTGGCTTGAACTTTGATTTTTTCCAACCCTTTGATTCAAAATCTAAACCAAACAGACAGGAAGCCAAAAATAATCGGAAACTATCAAATTATACAGGTTTTATATACCTTGCAGAACCCAAGAATACAAAAATAGATCGGACTTGGATGACTATGCAGCAGGGCAAAAACTAATAAATTAGGGGATGAATTTTCTAAAGGTTCTTTCCTTTTCAAGCCCCATCTACAAATGTAAATAGAGTTTACATTCAATAACAGAATTAAAGAATGTTTCAACCAGTTGGTCAGACAAGGTA